TTTATTTTCAGATTAAAGGAGAATTTTCTTTCTGTTATTTTCTATTCTAATGTCGGTTTAAACTTAGATATACAAACATTTTCACCTAAAATCAGTTTAAAAAAGAATGCTCTTTTTTCAAAAGAAAAAAGAATCACACTACGCATAATATTGTTCTTAATTTAAATTTAAGAATATGGAATTTGGTCATTATTGTTATATAGTTATAGCAAAAAAATAATCACGATTCTTAATCATTATTATTATATTATATACTTTATTTGTGATTCTAAATTGTATTAAAAAAATTGAAATAGTCAATCTCTTTTTGCGACTGACTGTACGTAAATAATTTAGGTTGTAAATGATCCTAATTCATATTAATAAAAAATTTGCAATAACTGTAATAACATCACAATGAATGTATACATATAAATATTTAATAATAAGAACGATAAATCGTTAGTAGAAATAGACATTACTTATTATTATACCTTTAAAAATGCTCAAAGATGTAATTATTACATTAACATTAAAAATTTATTTAAGGTCAAGGTAATATTATCTCGAACTATTAAAGAAGACTGTACTTTATTTTGACATATAAAATCGATACCACAAACTTCCATGTTGTCTTATTTTTCCCGCTAATTTTGTTTTTTTTTTCTCTTAGAAACAGGTTCCTTTATGAGGTCAGTATGTAGGGTGGGTATGTAATTATGTAATTATAATTACTATTACCGTTTTTGTTCCATTGTGTGTATTTTTTTGTCATTCCATTTGTAACCTTAAAAGGATTGTAACATTCAGTTGTATATTAATTACACAAATATTAATGAAGTTACATACATTTTAGTATGACATTTGTAAATTACAGAACCTTCTTTCTTAACCAGAATTCTTGGTTGATTAAATATACTTATTTAAATAGAATAAATGTAAATATAATTGTTATGAACACCGATCTAAGGTGTAAATTGTTTTTACTAAGTAGAAGTAACAGCAGGTGTTTCAGGTTCCGAGCTGTACAAATAAATAATATATTAAACGATTTCAATATATTATTTCAATTATAGTTATATTTTAAGTACGTTGTTGCTTTCTTAATCATATCATTAAATATCAAAAATACATATTTGAAAGTATTAAAATGGATTATAAAAAAAACGAAAAGCATTTTGGTGACTTAAAAAATTAATCTATACAAGTTGTTCCAATTACGAAAATATTAATATATAATAGTCATGCAAGGTGGTTGAAGATTTTATTAGAATTACAATTTTAAAGATAAAAAAATTGATTGTACCAATTTTTTTTTTATTATGTCCAAGGAATATTGGTCTCTACAAAAAGTTGCCTAATTCACCCCCACATAAAAGTATAAGGATGTATATTAACACGTTAATATATCACTTCGACAGATAGCTACCAATACCAACTCCAGTCGATGTGGCAGAAGTGCTGGAACACGCAGACGCTCGTCCACAACTTGCGGTTCCGCGAACGTGGCCCTCTCAAGTCCTGGCGGCCAGAGACCATGGCCGAAGCCATCTTCTCCGTGCTGAAGGAAGGCCTCTCACTGTCCCAGGCAGCCCGAAAATACGATATTCCCTACCCGACCTTCGTGCTCTACGCGAACCGGGTCCACAACATGCTTGGACCCAGCGCAGACGGCGGCGCAGGTATGTCCAACCATTGTTCTATTTCAAAGCTCGGATTACTGGCGAAAACCCCTTGTAGTCTACATTGTTCATCATAAATCCTATTCTCTATAATGTTGACCGTTCATTTAATTACAATTATCCGTCGCAAGATATTTTTTTACACTGCAAGCCGCGTCCGCCAGTCTTATCCCGGCTTAACGACAAGTGCAGATGTGCGCAATTTTATAATAGCGTCCATCTCTGCTTGTCATGAGTGTTGTCACAGGTTACTTTAGTTTTTTTCTTTTTTTTAGTATTAAACATCGATTATGTTTGACAGTTCGAGTCTTAAGTAGTTATAGGTTTACATAAAAACTGTTTTTGATTAATGATGTCGACGTATTGTAAATAACGTCGACTAAATAATGCAAAACAAAATAAAACTAAAATATTTGTTTTTCGAACCACAAATTATTTATTTAAACGTAAATTCACCGTTTAAAAATAGAATGTTTTGGTATAGGAAGACAAGTGAATCTTCCGAATGCAGTGTAACAAAACCGATGCTGTCTGTCAACGTCAATAATTCCTAATTTAAACAGATAGAACAAAATGCAAGTAACCTGTGCTACGACATTCAGAGAGCCACTAAATAAAAATAACGTGCAATAGGAACTGATCAGTGTAAAATGTAAAATGTTCGTGTATGTGTGTGTATAAATTTAAGGTGTGTGCGAAATATGATTAAGCGTTGCGAAGTTATCTGCTATGCGAGCGCTCTGTTTACCTGTGACACTATGTCCATGATACATGAAGAATACCACGTATATTATATAAGTAGGCAACTTGGGAATCGATTCCTGGTTTGGGTTTCCTTGAGAACGACACAAGAAAACGTATTTTGAACGTACGGACATTACTTCTTTCACACAATTACGTAAAAGAAATTAATCGCTAGTAGGTTTACAGATGTACTCGGGCTAAATTAAAAAGGTCTCAGTTTCTTAATAAAAGATTTGGGTTTCTGAGAATCTTGATACTTATAGTCATGGAAGGATATATTAGAACTTCAACTACACCTGAAATATATTCTATATTTGTAGATCTATTCTGTTTTTATGCTTTATAATCAGCAGAATTGTATCCGTCTGCTAGTTACCGCTTTTCACCTGGCGGGTCGAAAGCTTTCTTGCCGCTAATAGTACAATAACAAAACTGTGTACTCTCTTCCCGCACACTTCCTCATTTCTATTAATAAGCGTACTTTACGTGGGAACATTGACAACTCCCTTAAAACTTGACAAATAAAGGTCAAATTTGTTTAACTTTCTATTATTCACGTTGCTGATTGACCAGTCTATTCTGTACAATCCCTAGGAATATATTACATAAAAATCCAACATATTATGTAATGGGCAATTATTTTCTTAATATATAAATTGTCTAATAGTCCCACGAAAGTTATACTTCACCCAGGTATTGTATAGAATACTGGCATCATATGAAATGTCAGTACCTTATTATTAAATCGTTTCGATAATCAAGAAGTGCTCTCGAGTTCAGACGACGAAAGCTTTAAGCGTCAGTCAAAACTGTTTTTATTCAATCCTGGTGTGATATATTTTTAAGGAGTAGTCATCGAATTTCTTCTCTCGCCCTGGTTGGGGCAACAGAGAGTGTCAAACTCTTTATACTGACTAAAAACTTAAAAAAAATAAGGAAATTTTATTAATAATTTGTTACGTCACGACACGGGGGATTCCGGTTTTCGACGTATGGAGAACAGATTAAAAATATCTAAACTTTTATTTCAAATAAAAAATATATATCAAAATAGTTGATTACCTATTTCAAAATTTACACTAGTTGGTATTACTTCATGCACAGTCTTGCAGTAATTATTACAATAAGTACTGTTACTGGATCCCAAACTAGACCACAAGCCTGTATCTTGGAAGGCAGTGTAGTGTGTTTTACACTATATGATTTACCGTATTGGTTTTTTCTCATAATGTCTAATGAAAATTGTGTTATCGCGAGCCAAAGACGTGTAGATAAATTTCTTTTTGCAAGCGCGCTCTAACGATTTTTTCATGTACGTCCTCGCGTGCTCACGCGCATATTCACACGATTGGCATCAGTAAAAACCTCGCTTCAGTTTACTGTCAGAAGCCCATTCCAAGTTTCCGTCATCTGAACTCAGTCTTATCCTGTTCCCCTAATACACCGCAAGTATGTAGTTAAGTTTCCGTAGGTAATATTGATCCTCTTTACGCCGAGTTGTAGAAGTAATAATGTTGTTTTTTCTTTTTACTCTGCGGCTAAAGAGCTCACCATTGCAAGTAAGTTAGATGTATACTTCATTAAGTGCCCGGCCACAGGACATTCGCTGCAGGGGTAGCGACAGCGGCGGGCGGCACGCTCAGTACAGACGCTTGTTTCTGCCGCCTGTCGAGCTCGTCGCTTGCGCTACCGCTGCAGCTCATTTCCCGCGGCCGGCCTGTAAGATTTCATGTTCGATGTGTCGAATCCTTATTTTAATTTGGCGTAGTTTTCTTGTGTCGTGTTAACAGCTTCGTGGCAGATATTTGACGCATATGTGTTTGTCAAACAATACTGACTGCGCTTTATGCACCGCAACGCCCCAAGCATTACGTCGACGATGCGAGCCGCCTCGCCAAGCCAGCCTCGCACAGTCGATACTCCCTTCATGTGACTACTTATTATTTAAACCCAGACCCCGTACAGCTTGTTCGAAATGTGCAACTTCCTGATACACTATCTAGCTCTGTATATTTAATTCCTCGCTAATTTTATTAATGTTTCGAATAAGCTACGACAGAACGCCAAAATACCTTACATGTTCACGTTTTACTATTATGCGACTTTCCAGATTTAAGACCCAAGGGAAGGGGACGACCGCAAAGGATCTTACTGGGCGTTTGGCCCGACGAGCACATTCGAGGAGTAATCCGCGCGGTAGTGTTCAGAGACACCCACGCGCCTTGCGCCCCGCAGGCCACAAACCTTAAAGAGATCGAACTGCCGGGCTACCCCGCCATCGCACCGGTCAGTATCACACATGTTGCGCAGCCCGACACCACGCCAGCTGCTCTCCGTACTCTTTTCTCGCTGTTTTACGTCACCGCAGACTGGCACACCGACTCTTGTATCATGACAGTGCCATCCGTCTGACGTAAGATTGCGACTGAGATGCGCTAACAATTTTGTACAAACTAAGTCTACTGTTATGTATATCTTTGGCCCCATGTCTCCGCAGCTATGCGAAAATGCGATTGCGATCGTCAATATAATAAATGGCTCGGCGGTTGCCACGCTCACATTTCTTTACTTAAGTATAAATATTTGTAACATTACATGGTCACGTGTGACAGTGTCGTTACACGGGACTGGTGTAAGGACACTACGCGGTACAAGGACTTGCGATCTGCTAGTGTCGAGCAAGCATTGTATGAGGCGGTGTGCGTGTTTCAGGACGGTGTGGCCGTTCCAAACGCTTACATCGGATGTGGCAACGGGCGCGAGGGCCGCATGTCTCCGAACGCCGCCGCCGCCGCCGCCGTGGCTGCCGTGGCGCACGGCCTGCGCCGGCAGATGTGCAACATGGTGGCTGGCCAGCGGCCGCCCGACCACCCGCCGCACATGGGCCCGCCCATGCAGTCCTCGCCGCAGCTCACGTCGCCGCTCTCCACCGGGCTCGAGTCCCCTCTGTGCTCGCCCCCGCCACCTGGCCACGCGCTGGAGCCCGCCAAGCATCCAGACCCATTCCGCCCCTTCGCCTCACCGACTGAGAGCCGCTACAGTGACCGTGACACTGCTTCTGACATAACGCTGATGGGTCCTCCGAAGAATGGACAAGGCCACGCCAGGAAGAGCTCTGGCCAAGGCTCATCGCCCTCCGAGCTGGATGCGGTAGATGGGCGCGCGGACATCTGAAGCGAGGCCGCGGGCATGGTGCCGGTGATGCCGCCCATGGGCCTGCCACCGCCGCCGATCCCGATGCCCGCGTACAAGTACTTCGTTCCGAACGGAAACAGCTCCACCTATTATTAAACTGTAGCGACGCGGGGTTCCCATCACCTACAGAGCTTCCTTGCCCCGCCTGGTAATGCCACACTGCGCTCTGTGGACCCCACGCCCGATACATTGTCTCTCTTTCAAAGTAAAAGCCGATGTAACAGTCGACGTCATTAATTTTTATCACCGCAGTACAGTCAGCATCAGTAACAGCGGTATGTTGGAATTTATTGCATTTACACTAACGCATGAAAGCACGTGTTGTGGTGCTGACTGTGTAAATGATTTACATTTCTGAAACTTTCCGAAACCTCGTGGAACCAGATCTTACAAGATCCTTACTTGCAACCCAAAGAGTTTGTGTGAATCTGTTTTGTATTTTTGTTTGTTGACAAGTGTTTTACGTTATATGCGGAACAGTTGAAACTGCGGTGAAGTTGCAAACAATATTGGCGGCACTAGGCGACACCACACAGCGCTGTCGCAGGGTCGTATCGAAGCGACCAGCCGCGAGATGCCAAATGTTGTAATCCTCGGATGTGGGGAGTTGCAGCAAAGAGTAATGTAATTGTGTGAAGTGTGTGTCGGTATAGGCGGACACGTTGAGGTTCATTGCGCCCGTTGCACATTCCAAGGAGGAACTGGAGCTGTTTACCACTCGGAGTTTAGAGACGATCACGTGACGGGCCCGAGACGGGTTAAGTTGTTTTAATCAATATTTCAAATCGGCATTAATTTATGATCATATTTAGTAAATTATTGTGGACTCGCTGTGCAATACAATGCTTTGTTATTAGTTTACTTTTGTAACATTATGGATTTATTATAATTTGTATCATTATGTATTGTGTTCCATTGATATATTTTAAGTTTCATATAGTTTGATGGGCACGGGCGCGGTCGGCCACTCAGTGCGCCGGCGCCGCTCGCTTTCCAAATACTATTATTATCTTATCATAAGTAGAACTTCGAGATACGTGTAAGCTTAAACTAATACATTACAATCTAGATCCATCTGTGAACGTAGGGATTATCAAAATTAAAAAAATATATTATATATACGTATGTATTCAATATATAATATATGTATATTTATTCGGCCCGATTCAAAAGACTGTTCGGTATACCTATTCATTATGATTCAGCAAACATATTTAAGAAATGATGAAATGATGGATTTATCGTTAGATTTAATTCTTCAAAGTGTAGCTGTCCTATCGTTTCATGTGAGGTCGATGTCAATTTGTCTAGTAACAGTTATAGTGGATAGTGTGTGTTGTCGCTTGCGGGCCTCCCGCTTCTCAGCTCATTGTTCACTGTTCGTGCAGCGATTCACATACGTGTAGAATTAGTGATCGCCAAATGTAATTTAGATGTACTCGTATCGTTAGTCAGTAGTGATTGTTCCAAATGTTAGGCTATATTAGAGTACGCGACGGTGCCCGCTTCTAAACGTTAACAGTATCACCTTACTGTCCTCTGCGACGGTACTCGGTACCAACCTACGATCAGAATCACGCTAATATTTTGATTCTGACTGTACTTTTCTAGTGTGGCAACATTTTAGAACCTAGCGTTCTTTTTATAAAATATTTTAGAATCAATTCGAATCTTGAATTGTTGCGCAGGCGTTTAAAACGCCTATAAATGTGGTTATATTTGATACTACGCTATTTTAGTTATTATTTTTCTGTTAAATGTTCAAGGCTCGTTATTTATAATTTAATTTTATTGTTTATAAAAATACAATTAAGTGACGGAATTATAGTTTGACAACCACTAAAAGGAGGGTGGTGAGGAAACGTTGAAAAGATGTGAGAAATTATATAAATCGTTGCAAAATTAAATATGGTGGACAACGTACCTATACAAACTTAATTCACGTCGAACATGTGTTGCCACACTACAAAAGTACAAAAGATATCATATTCTTACAATGCCCTATTTTATACATACATATTTAAGAAATAATTTTGTTACACTAAGAGATTTTAAACCTTATTTATAAATAAAATAGTTATATAAATAAGAAGTATGGATACATAATTATTTTATTTACTGAAGCCTTCGGAAACAAGTTTAAGGCACACAGCTAGAACTTTCTTACGATGATCTCATTACTTGACTGACTGTATGGTTCACTAGCATGAAGCGAGTATGACTAGCATTGCAGCTACTATCTTAACCCGTGATTACAGAATCACTTATCAAAATATAATACAGAATTTCTCCTCCCATTATATCAATCGATCCAAAACTTGTTAAGATTTCTATATAAGCGTTAACTTCGAGAAGCGAGGCCCGACGCACTTAGATTTAGGTGCACTGAAATCGCCAAGTACCTACAGAATGTTCATCATTCATTTGTCTGCTATACCACCTACGCATGATAGTATTATACATTTCGATTTGCTTATATTAGCTATGTAACTACTCGTAGCGAGATCCAATGTAATTCGACGCTATGGCTCGCGGGGTGAAGGTGCGCACGCGCCGCCGCCCCGCGCGTGTCGCAGTCGCTAGGACTTTAAGGTGTGTATGTACAAATTTGTTTTATCAACAACTACTTCCTGGACGCATAATTTCGTTTCATAGTTTGGATTAAAAATTACTAGTGTTACCTTCTTGCCGCAGGGGTATCCACGATTTAGGTATTGTTGGCGGAAAATTGTTGGCGTTCACGTATTAATTTGTCGCGTTGTGGGGAGAGGCCGGCGCCGTGTGCGCAGGCGCCGGCGAGGACTCGTCGCAAAACATGGTGACCATGTTTTATAATTAGTCTCCAAGTGGCCTTGATACTTCATTATTATTTGGTATTTGGAATATCCGGTTCGGTTAAAGTTTGGAACTAGAATATAAAAAAGACCAAAATATTAAATTTGTGAAAAAATTATTACATCTGCAATTCAGATTAATGTTAAAACTATTTGGCTGTCCTTTTGGAAATAAATTTAATCTAGGTAAAAAAATTAAAAATTATATACTGGGCCTATAATGTTTCGGACGAATTGCGTAGATTTTGGTAAATTTTACTACGCATATTTTCTATTGTGTAAGGTTAGGCTAATGTGTTCAAAAAATAAATTAAAATTTAAATTTTTTGAAAAGTAGAAAGTGCCTTCCAAATTTTTGACCACAGTAAGTGTTGGGGGGGATGCGGCGAAGTGGGGTTGGGGGTGGCTGGCAGCAGTGGCAGCGGCGGGCAGGGCTCGCCTCGCACCGCGCCGCCGCTGTCCGCCACCCGAACGTGCTTAAATATAAAAAGTTAGAATAAAATAAAAATTCAAAATTATTATATAAAAGATAAATACATATGACTATTATATAGAAAAAAATATACATAAAATTATATATTTGGGCGATGTGGTAATACCCTGACAGGCAAGCGATAGCTAACTATTCGGTGTCCAAATTGATTCTCTTTCTTTGTGAACGATCACACGATCACTAAAATCCATTAATTAAACAATGCAGACATGCAAGTGCCATTTGTTTTAAACTGAATCACTTATGGTTCATATTTTTTTGTATCAGAATGTGGATTTTGTAGTTATAATTAATCATTAATTTATTGTATTGGAAAAAGTATACATTTCGGATTACATAAATAAGTACCTATGTGTTATTTTCGTGATAGATAAGTAAAAAAAAACTTGTAGTAATATAATATACACCTACAGAGGCGGTTTTGGTTGGTTCGTAATTTACATGAATAGATGTTAATTTTTTTTTATATTAGTTAATGTAATCGTTACTGGCGACCATTACAATGTGTTATACTGCATGACAAATCTTAACTTTTTTGTGATAAATACCTATATATAATTTGAAGAACGATATATTGTATATCTACTGATATGATTGCTCTTTTCGATTATTATAACTGTGGATATTTATTTGATTTAGCGCGACTGCCCCCGTTGGGCTGAAATTGACCTTTATTTTAATAGCATGTCCATTGTAACCAAAAAATATTTTACTTTTACAATTCCAGTGTATAATGTGCGACTGTTTAGTTATAAGTAAAGTTGTCGATAGGTATCTGTGTGTTGGTACTGGTACCTCTACCTATTTTATTGTCTATTTGGTTTTTACTACTTGTAGGTATCAGGAAATGACCTAGGTAGGTACATATCACTACACAGCTTAGGTTTTGTCATCTCAGTACCTTCCAATTAGTATTATTAGATTTTTTGTTAATAGTTTCTCTTTAACCCACACCTAGATACTGGACAATATCCCTTGTCTATGTAATGGTTAACCCTTGAATGAAATCAGTTGGTAGCATCCACTCCAATCGTTTTCACATGTCTTATTGGGATGACAAAATCAAATGAAACAATTATTGCAATTACAAAAAAGTATGTAATTTTAATTTTATTACAATATTGTAAACAAACGTTAACTTGGTTAGTCTGCGATAAAGCTATTGTTATTAGATTTCACTATAACACTGCCTGGTTTTGGCCGCGTATTGTTTATTCCGAATAGAAACTCAGGCACTTTATACACGCGCCTAGTAATTTGGAATAGACAAAACGCGGTCAACGCCGCGGTGAGCACAGATTATTTCTTTAATTCAGTTATTTATTATTAAGATAATTTCGAACTTATGTTATTCTGTGTTCCTGAAATGGTGTAACTTTATTTGTATGTAGATAAACACGTATATTATTAAAATAACTGTAAGTAAATGTTTAGGCTGTTGCCACGCAATATCTGAACCATCTCAGTAGAATCATCGTTTCATAACCCCATCTCTTTCGAATAAAACTACGTTAAGTACTTGTGGAATCTCAGAGCTACGATCGCTGTATTCTTAGTGATTTTACTATTAATTTATAAAGGCACAGAGTTAGTAAACGATGATTGTACCAGTGGCACACTAATATTGATACATTCAGTGTTTATCTTAAGTACAATTTATGAAAATTGATGTAATCTTTTAATCATCCTGGTATTCGTATAGATGTTACCCAAGCGAACACAGGTCTATATCTAAAGGCCGGTAAATAAAAACATTGTATGTAGTGTCTGTCTCCATTAAATTCATTAATTTAAGTTTGTTATTGTCACAGTGTACCGTTGTCTGAATAAATAATATAACATGAAAATAGAGCAAGCGTGTTGTTTTATTTCCAAGTTTCTTTTTGTTTTTATCTTTGTTTTGCCCTGTCCTATGTAGTTTGAGAAACGGTTTATAGATGGCGGTAAAAGAAAAAACGACAAATCCTTTCCCGAAATATCCTCGTTAGGATTAGATGCAGTAGTTAGTTCGAAATCTAATTATACATAAGCTCTTTCTGGTGATTACAAAAAACAGTAGCCTGTATGACAGTAAAAGAATCCGCCATTATTCGATAAAAGTTTTATCGCTAGGTATTTCAATAACATGACCAACGTCCACCTCCTTACGTAAGCAAGTCTAAATTCATATCCTACTACTTACAACCTAACCAAACCAGAATTGGAAAAAAGTTGGTTGAGGAACTAAAACTTGGTCGAGGACAAATTGGTGTTGGTTAACGTCCTGACAAAATTAATAGGGTCGCATGACCACCATGACCAAAATGTGCATAAAGTAGTACATCTATCCATAGGTGCTTCGTTTATTTAGAGATAGTAACAAAAAACTAAAATGTAAGCACCTGCATCAAGCGGAAGCCTCTAGCCACTTCTCAAAGGTCTTTTTACCGCTGCTATAACAGCGTGCTCGTTATTAGTATGCATTTTCATGTGCTAAGTATGTATTTAATGGGATTTGGGAAGGGAAAATCATCACATGACTTCTCCCGTCCAGGGTTTGACGGGAGGGAGTGTCAGACTCTTACTGACTAAAAACTCCCCGTTCCTTCTCCTGCTCTGGGCCGAATTCGCGGTGCCTCATTGCGCTTACTACTACTATTTAAGGGGTAGAAGTGTTAATATTGCAAAATTAAATATAAAATCAATTAAGTGTCAACTTACATCTAGGTACCTATGCGTTTTACCGGTATTGAGTCTTCGGATTCAGCGGGAGGAAACGCCCGAGTGTCGTCATTGTGAGGACCACCTAGAGGATACGGTGGAGCATACGGTAGCGGTATGCCCTGCCTGGGCTGAGCACCGCCGTATCCTCAGGGAAGTGATCGGCGGCGGCGACCTCTCGCGCCCGGCCTTAGTCGAGGCCATGGTGCGGAGTGAGAGGAACTGGGACGCCGTCTCCTCCTTTTGTGAAGCGGTCATGCTCGCAAAGAGAGAGGCGGCCCGCGTGAGGGAGCAATCCTCCTCCTCACGCCCCAGCAGCCGCAACTGGCGACACTACGGGCGTCGGGGATCGAGGGACGATCTCCGGCCACCGTAAGTACGGGCCTGCGGTCGGCGAGTAAGGGCAGCTCGCCGCCCGACCAGAACCAGGCCCGAGCGTACGGCGCGTAGCGTTCCGCGCGCGCCTCAAAGAGCCAATAGACCACCACAGACGGGGCCCTAAAGGGCTGATGTTCAGCCGGGGCTGCGGGGTAAGCGCAATAAGGTACCGCGACCTCGGCACAGAGCAGGAGAAGGAACAGGGGGGTTTTTAGTCAGTAAGAGTCTGACACTCCCTCCTGCCCGGCCCTGGGCGGGAGAAGTCATTTGATGATTTTCCCCTCACAAAAAAAAAAAAAAAAAAAAACCGGTATTGAGTCGATTATATATCTGTATTAGTTGTTTAAATTATTCTACAATACTATATAGTTATTCTATTTCAACACTAATCATTAAACAATTCAAAAGTTTGCCGGATTAATTTAATGTCTTAGTTTTGATTATCTCGCCTTAAGAAACGACATGAAAATTTCTCATAAAAGCGCCATCTCCTATTTATGTCATGAACTACTTACAACCAAAGTAAGCCTTATATCATTTTAATTTGTTAATTTTTCACTAGGAGTCTCTCTCTTCAGAGTAAAGTAGAAAAACTGTTGTCGAAGTAGCTGCGACTTTCCAGAAGGTAGACTGCACGAGGATTTTTTTTGAAATGTATGTAATTTACGACGACGCCAAGGTACCATCGTTTTGATATCGTTAATGTTTTGGAGAGATTAGGTGTTTAGTTCAGGACAAACACCACCCTAAGGGGCTAAAGGTAGTTTACGGAACTTACATCGAGACACCACAAAAATAAAAATTCTAAATAAGTACTTACCTGTTTGTTTTACTAGAGTTTAGCTTTACATTGGAATGAACGACACGTTTATGACGTTAGGGGTTTTTTTGTGATAGTAAAATCATTAACTGACTTCTCCGCCCATGGTCGAGCAGGAGGGAGTGTCAGACTCTGACTAAAAACCCTCCGCTTCTTGTCCTGCTTAGGGCTGAGGCCGTGGTGTCTCATTGCGCTTACCCCGCAACACCGGCTAAACATCAGCCCTATAAGACTCCGTCTGACGATGTTCGGGGTAAGGTTTCAATTGCGTCAATAATACCTAAAATATTATTTATGTTTATGCAAAAAATATCCCGACGAATTGAGAACCTCCTCATTTTTTGAAGTCGGTTAAAAAATGTGTGAGATCACTCAAAAAAATGTTTCCAACCCATATTGAAAAGTCATTCCTGCCTAAGATAAACTTTGAATTATAGCTGGTCGTATGCGTAAATGTGGGAAAGCCATATGCCTCGGCACCTGGACCGGAGTGATACCACGGCCTTTCAGAAAATCGGCCTGGAATAACTACAGCGCAGCCTTATTTCGCCGTGTGAGTGAGGTTACTAGAGGCCAAATGGTTCCTTTCCCCCAATCCCTAAATCCCCAAAAGGTCGGCAACGCTCTAGTAACTCCTCCATTGTTGCGGGTCTCCATAGGCGGTGCTGATTGCTTTTCATCAGGTAATCCGTAAGCTCGTTTGCCCTCTCCCCCTATCACATAAAAAGCTGCCTAATTAAACGTGCTGTCTAATTAGGCATTTTTTTAGCATTATCTTGTCTTACATACAAATAGATACCTAGATACTTACTTACATCTTGTATCTAATATTAGATTTTATTATTTTCTTAGGAACCTATATAGCCTAGCCTAGCCTAGCCCACTTATATAGCTCCACTGACGAACAGACTACTTTTCTATTTTGACGTTTCGAAAGTACCTATTTATGGTTTAGTTGGAATAAATGATTTTGACTTTGACTTTATAACACAATTAGGCAAACAAAAACTTTGCATGTATGTATATACAGGGTGTAAAAAGACACTTAACGAAGCCATTAACTACGCATACTGCAGTTCTAACTAAGTAGCTTTACGCTAAAATTAACACTGGGAAACGACTTTTATTTTTAGGGTAAAAAAAAATAATTATATTGCGCGCAATGTAAAGTAAACGGGCTTCGTGTCATTGCGTGCGTAGGTTCACAGCTTAGCATGAAAACGCTGTGATAAGTACGTAGGTCGACGTTTCACTTAGCAACAACAAAACAATTCTGTAAAATAAAAATCCTACTGAGATGCACGAAGTTTTTGTGCGGGTCTGCATGTATTTATCACGTACATTACTGTTCGTAACTTCAAATGCGTAATTTATTTAGAAAAATCGAAAATTTAGGTAGTTTGTTTGGAAAAAAGTGTTGTAATAATACTTAGAATTCGATTGCGCAAAAAAATAAAAATAAGAAATGCATCTTTGACCTTCAATATCTCGAGAACACGTACGGAGTCCCAGCTATGGTGTTATAGAAAAAAATGATCCAAATAATGGGTAGAATACGTGGCTTTCGGCTTCGTTAAGTGTCTTTTTACACCCTGTATAGTACCTACTTACGGCCAATGTCACTGTTTCTTAATCAGTAGATGTTCCGGATAGAACTAAATCAGTTGACCACATTCTTCGAAAGTTAATTAACCCGTGGTATGGACGACATCTGTCGAAGAACCGATGACCGCTGGGGTAAACGTGTTCTAGAGTGGGGTCCACGTCCAGGCAAATGTAGTGTAGGGCGCCCTCCGTGGACTGACGACATCCGCAGGGTGGCTGGCAGTGGTTGGATGAGAAGAGCTGAACATCGAGCTCAGTGGCGTGTAATTGGGGAGGCCTATGTCCAGCAGTGGACGACAACAGGCTGATGATGATGATGAAGCGCGGACCCACGCGAGACAATGTGTTTTCTATTGTTTGTCATATACCGGCTGACAAGAGATGTTTATTTGGTCTAGATTTGCCTAAACTAAATATTGAATAGATCTGATTAAATATATATTTCTTGGCAGTATAATACATATTTCGTGACTACTTGTTTTTTTAATAAGAATTATATATAGCCCCCCTATATTTCTCATCGTATTACTTAGAATTACCTTTCTGAAAGGCCATGAGTAACTCACTTGGGATAGTTATATTTTAAAATATGGACAGCTTTCATTCTTTCTTTGTGAATAAATTTAGCAAACATTTTTTTAAATTAAAAGAAAATAGTCAAATTTAAAGTATTACTAAACGAACATCATATGCATTATTTTTCTTCTGTAGATGTACATTTTAAATATTTATTTAATTTTTTATAGTATGCTAAAATTATGAATTTGTTAAACTTTGTCAGTAGATAGCATGATAATAATCTAGACCTGATGGACATATAAAAAAGTCTCTAAAGATCTATTAGAAAAATGACATATTTTTATTTTGCTTTAAAATGTAGATAGGTTGTAATCGGAAGTAGTCGGGATACCCATAAAACCGATTCCAATCGAAAGAAAAACAACTTAAATCTTAATAACATAAACAAAAGAAAAGAAACAAAATAAAAAACTTGAAAACAATTGAATTTATTATAATTATAATTATACATAAAAGCAAAAGGAATTGAAGAAATAAAAGTGAAATAATAACAACCCGACATATCCGTCTAGTACCACCATACTTGCAGTTGTGCAGTCAGTATATTCGAACGGGCGACACGCACGCGCGGCGACGACTTGCAACTAGTATTACTTATAAGTAACGTCAAGACCAGTAACATCCTTAACTTAAGGATTGGAAACAAAACAACAACAATTTAATAAAAGTAAGTACATACTGAACAGCAGTAAAGTTGCGAATCGTCTCGCGCGCTCCGTACTACAATCGCTACAATAAAATAACCGATTTATGTGATCAAAATTGCCCCATTTTATTCTCATCTCCCCAATGTTTTAAGCAAGTTACAATTACACGGCGCACTCTCGCCCGTTTACTTGACAGAATTCGTTGGTGAATTGGAAATTACATAATAAAATTAACAAGATTCGATAGAAAATGCCGTAGTTACATCGGGGCTAGAAATATGTTTCAACTATGATAAACTTGAGCAATGTATGGAAAATGTAGGTACGAGGTCCATGCGACCGGCGAACTCAGTCACGTACTGTGCAGTGTTTGTAGGCTACGCGGCGCGGGTCCAACATGGTACGACTAATCTATTTCTAACCCCGGCTATGGAAACATTTTGGTTTTACAAAATACTTAATGTAATAATTACATTTTAAAACTAAAAAGAACTACAATAAACCGTAACTAATTAAAATTTCATGTCCGTTACTGCCGCGACAGTTTCGCGTCTGATCTTAAAACTAATAACAAAGAGACCGAATGTTTTACAAAAAGTAGGTGAAGGTATACAAAGACAACAAAGACAGCTGAGTGTGATGGTCGGTAGTACAGGAGTAGCTACAATTTAATACTTTAAATATTACACTATAACTATGCTTCAGTCTTCGTTTAATTATTTAATATTACAGCCATTTATGAAGAGTAGCGGCTACATAAACGCGACCTTCAATGACCACATTATTATTTGTATATATATATATACAACAAATAAATACATGCGCGGCGGATGTATTATAGCCACCCGCCGCATCACGTTACGTTAAAATCGCAAAGTTCAATTGCATACGCACATACTAATACCATCGAGAATTATGATTATTTAAATTGTTTAAATCTTAATTCGGTATCATTACAAGTCTGAAATGTTTATTAATGTTTATAATATTAGAGACATACATTATCTTAGATGACTATTAAACAAGTTAAGCGATAAAACTGCTGGCCATTAAATTGAGATATTTGGGGACGACACAGTATTATTCAAAGACAAATAATTACACAAAATAAATAATCAACTAATTAAATAACATAATATTATTGGACAATACAATAACGAATAATTGAATTCAGTGAAATTAATAAAAGAAATAAAATTAACATGAATTGCAATTCAGGTGTCTCATGTCAAAGAAATAATAAAATACATTTCATTGTTGTAGTAAATAAAAAATCCATAATAGATACATTCATGATACATAATTTAGCTATCTAAAATAGAATTAGGAAGCAAACAATGATTAAAATAACAATAAAAAAATATACTGTGCCGAGGGTCACACATCACGGAGAAGCATCTTAAAAATAAAAATAAACTTAACATCTAATTCCGATTTTCATCTCTTTGGAACACAGAGTAAAAAATAAAGGAATTTGGCAATGCGACATGGTTGTTTAGCCACCATTTTTATCTACTGAACATTTTAACAACTAGAACTATAGTAATGGTATTGAATTGATTATTTATTATTTGAGTACATCGTGGATACTTGAGTTACGCAAGACTAAAGTAGATAAAATAAGTCCATTTGCACGTTGCGCAAAAACAGTCCGGTGGGTACAACTGATCCCCTTGCCACGTCGACGGTACACAATCACACGCTCGCGCCTCCTCGTGCTACCTTCACGGTGGCTCCGCAGCACCGAGTGTTTGCAGGCAACCGACTGAACCTCGCCTCTCTCGTCGCCGTCACTGTGCTGGTCGGCCGCGCGCGTCGCAACGCATCATTCGACAGAGCGTATCATCGGTCACTACACTATTATGATATGCACCACTGTGTACCGATAACATCTAATACAGGGTCTTCGGTATGAGATTCTAAAGTGCTTACACTCCTAAATTGCTGACTTTATTTCTCTCGCTTGACATCCATTGACCTTTAATGGCAAGTGACGTATGTCGCTGTCATGGAACGTCAAGTAAAGAAGTAAAGTTTATTACAGAGCCCTGCCGAACAATGCTTTACAACACTATGATGGTAACAGACTTATGACCTGAAAAAATCGATTTAATCTTACATAATGTGATACTTTCGGCTGCTATGGGTGAGCCTCTTCACAAACTACTAGATTAAAATATACCATTCTCCAGGTCGAGTATGTACTGGTCCGTTACCACCATGGCCTGGTGGGGATTTATATAATGCTGCTTTTATGCTGCGTCAGTTTGTGTCAAATACTAAGGTCAAATGTCATACTATATAAGTTATGTTACTCTTGACTACTTATAACGCCCAAATGAGTTCCATAACTTATACAGCAGCACAGAACCGAGCGGAGACATTCACACTTATTCTTCCAACAAATCTAGATGGGAATACAAAAAAGGGACAAACCATAGGACGCAAGCAGCCACGTTAAGGACCGACACAGACACTAAAATGCACTTTAACAGTGCCAAGGCGCGTAGAGATTTGCGTAGCGACGCAAGAGGCGTCGGTTCAGTCGTTGCTATTCATCGCACTTACGGCAAGCGCCAGGCACATCGAAGTCAAGCACAAGTAGTTTCGTTTCCTCAGTGCCATTGCGCGAGCCGACAGCACAGATGAGTTTAGTAGCAGAAGCACGAATGCGCCAAACAACGCCACCAGAGCCGCCAGAACCCAATTCCACCAAGTTTCGGATGAACTCGCCCGTGTGGACATCCCACAGCTTGACAGTTCCGTCATCCGAAGAAGTGATGACGAAGCGGTTGCTCGACTGAAGACATGTGACGGCGGACTGGTGCTTGTTAGGACCTATGTAACAAAATGTTGAGTAAGTAAGCTTACGGATGAGTATAAATAAAATATTGTACAATTTCAAATTCAAAACTTACCCGACAACGTGTGGAGGCAGTGTCCCGTAGTTATATCCCACACCTTAACAGTGGAGTCAGCATTGCCAGACACCAGGATATTGGAATGCAGTTCCATACCAGACGTAAGGGACTGGTGTCCAGTCAGGGTATGCTTCAATTGTCCAGATTCTACATCCCAAACGCGAATTGAAGTATCCAAAGAGCCGCTTACAACATGAACACCATCAAACTGAAAATGTAAAGATAAAATGTTATTATAACGGATGAAGAGAAATTTTGATTGTCTCTATGAGCATTTTTTTTTTGTTTTTGTATAAAAGATTGCCTAACACTAGGATATTCTCCTGTGTCTATGACAATTTCACATCTCACTCATCAGTCGTATGTTTTAATATTTTTAGTTAGTTGGATATCCAGTATATTATTAGATGCAAAAGATGTGGACTTTACAAGTTACAATATTTATAGATCTTATCGATAAATATTGACTGTTACAGCACTGACTAATTGTGAAATGTTTTTCATTTGACTAATTTCCATGAAGACGATGAAGAGTGTAAAATAGTTAAATGTAAAAGTAAATAAAGTAAAGGGGAATATAAATGTAAAATTAAAAGGCATTCCATAGCTTCATATTATATCATACTAGTGTGTAGGTACATAGTTTTTTATTTGTTATGCAATCCCTCATCAATCTACGATACAATTTTGGCTAGATATTAGTGATTGCGTTGCCGATATCCATAATCCCCAGGCTACTGTTAAAGGAGCAAATCTCAAAGGACATTATGCTATTGTAGCCTAGAATTCTTGCACGCTACTGCCTCCTTTTATTTCCAGACTCAGGACTAATCATTGCTAAGTAATCGACTTACTTAGATCATTCAATCAATTTCTTAAAATGCATATAAAATTACCTGCAGGCTGTAGACCCTATTGGTGTGTCCAGCGAGGGTATGCAAGCAATCACCGGTATCCGGGTTCCAGACCTTCACGAAGTAATCGTAGGCTCCGGACACAACGAGTTTACCATCGTATTGTACGCATCGAACTGCAGCCAAGTGACCAATCAGAACACGGAGGCAACGACCTTCTGGTATGGACCAGACCCGGAGAGTAGCGTCACGGGATCCAGACACCACCCTGTAGACAATAGAAAAAGGAATTTAATTCTCCCGTCCAATTGTTTGTTGTTGATTAATGTTTTTTTTCTTTTACCGTGCTCATAACTGACCCCCTAAGTAGGTTACAACAGATTAAAAATTATCATGACGAGTTCGCTTGTTGTATTTACTAATTAGATTAAAATAATGATTTTTACAGCTGCTTAAATTCTAACATTTTTGTACGAGATTGCACATAAAAAAAAAGATAAAAATCGCTAGCTTCAAGCCACATACTCATTTATGTATAAATTAATTACAAAACATGATAACTACGCTTATGCTTAATTAACACAATTAGATGTGTCATTATTTTCAGACACTCCGAAGATTTATAATTGAATATTTTTTTTTACTTGATTTGAAAAATATTACATCTGTTTATGTTTCTGTGCTTAAATTATCAACAAACTTTAGCGGTGTGACATTATATTTAGCGGCGAATGCTATTTTCATTATGCTCAAGGTGACGATATCCGACAACACAAGCAATAAATGATTGCAAATATTTACAATATAGTTTTATTTACCAAATGTTCGTCTGTGTTATCATATTTGCTTACATACAGAAGTCAATACCAATTGCTTCTTGTTTTTAAGAGGATAATCGATGCATTACATGGATAATGGAAATTAGTCAAATGAAAAACATTTCACAGTCATTCAGTGCTGTGACAGTCAATATTTATCGATAAGATCTATAAATATTGTAACTTGTAAAGTCCATATCTACTGCATCTAATAATATACTGGATATCTAACTAACTAAAAATATTAAAACTTACGACTTATAAATGAGATGTGAAATTGTCATAGACACAGTTCACAGCGAAGGTAAATTGGACAATGGACAAAGTATTTTCTTGTTTTGTTCTTTAATCAGAATAAGTTTAAATGACACATCTTTCCAAGAAATCTACTGTTTAGTTATAATTTAATAAACATTAATTGTTTCACAAGCAAATATGAGATTTCTTAGAAAAATCTCTTTATCTTTATTTAATGATTACAAGGCGATACAAGAGATTAAGTTCGCTTCGAAGCATTTGTTTTACGCAACAGAAATAGATAAGAGCTCGTTTGTAATTCAATAATAAACATAATTATCAATATTTTGTTATGAACTACAACAAACAATCGCAATATTATCTTAATTGTACGCAATAGCTTATAATCGTACTCGAGTTTAGCGTCGCAAGCAAATTTATATTAAAACATATAGGTATCGTATCTTTGATTCAACTTGCAAACTAATCACACAAGCGTCTTTAAAGAAAAAGCTGAAGAAACAACAATTGTATCGCTTAGCATTTTTTATAAGGAGTCAAACAAAATTGAAATTGATACTGATACGCAAATAAAATTAAATTGTAGCTCATCAAAAAGAACTGTATTTGTAAGCATCAAATACATAAAAAGTTGCCATTCGCATACTCAGCATAGGTAGATTACCATAAGTACTTATTAAACAAATATTGCGCTGAGCGTAATGGAAAATATAGTCAGCAAATAGCAGGAATCAACGGTGACCAGTTAACTCATATAATCCATGTATTATACAAGAAAATACTACACCATGTACATGTTTTATGTATAATAGTAGACATGTACATTTATTATACTTTCTATGTACACTTTAGTAATAAGAGGTAATTGTAAGTTTGTAAGTAGGGAGTGATACTTGGAACCGGTGGTCGTATTTTGAAATTTCTTTCACTGATAGATAGCTAGATAATGTTCCTGAGTGCTATAGGCTATAAAACATCAGGGTGCGATCAAATGGAACCGAGCAGAGTCAAACCGCGCGAGATTAGCTAGTATATAATAAAAGATACTAATGGATAATGAAACTAGGCGCCTTACACAAATCGTCGTCGTAAATATTTGAATATAAACTTTTGAAATGACAACAGTTACAATTAGATATTTGGATTTTGGATTCACTCATTTTGTACTATGCATGTCAACTCTTTTGGTGTACAATAAAGTGTATTTATTATTTATTATTATTATTAGATAGTACATGTGTAGGAGTGATTTAGACAAACACCAAATGTGTGATGTTTCATTTAATTTCTTTGAAAGCCACAATAAGTATAAATAGTAAAAGGTAGCTGGGACCTAAATATCACTGTCCATCAGTATACAAGAATTATATAGAACTTAAAGTCGACTGTTTAATGGTAAAAAAAATAGGCATTGAATATTTGTACCTGTTTTGGTGCAGGTGCATGCAGCGTACGGTAGAAGTGTGCCCTGCGAGGACCTTCAGGCATTGTCCAGTCTTAGCATTCCATACACGAAGTGTACGATCAGTCGAGCCACTGATCACTAGGTCGTTCACCATCTGGGAGGACCATACGCCACCGGAATGACCCACCAGCGTGCGTAAACACTGACAAGACAAAACATTATTTTTATATTACACCTTATGAATATACCTGGAGATCTAGATAATAATTAATCTCAAAGAACCAACAAAAATAAGGATCTAAACAAAAAATAGTTAAATCATCCATAAAACTACGCATTAATTTCAAAAGCCATATCTTTGTTTACATATTACGTTCAGCTAAATACATGGAACAGCAAGTGACTTTGCCTCGGCTGATTACATTAGGAAAAAACAGTGATAACAATATTAAATGTTATACTTTACACAGCTCACCTTGCCGGTGACGGCCGACCACACTTTGAGCGTGGTGTCGTCACTCCCGCTGAGGATGCGATTGCCGTAGAACTGCAGGCAGGTGATCACGTGGTCATCATGGCCCCTCATGACGATGGGCGAGGCAACTGGCTTATGCAGCCAGTTGTTCTCGATCAGATACTGTCGCATGTAAGCTGCCTTCCAAGGACTGGCACAGCGGGGAAGGGAGCGTGGCATCTTCTTCAAAGTTGTTATACCAATACGGCGACATTGCTCCTTCCATAACAGGTTGTCTTCCGCAAGGAACCTGTAAATATAATAAATGTTAAATCTTACATCTTAGCTAGTATTTACAACTATTACAGTAAGCAATTTAGTATAGCGTGTGTAACATGTCCTTAAAACAATAAAACAAGAGACTTACTTCCAGTAGCGACAAGTTTGGGCAGCCCTAAGCAGATCCTTGGGTTGCAAGTAGCCGAGCACAGTCAAAGCGAGCTCCTTAGGCAGAAGGGATATGAAGTCCCGCTGGAACAGTGGCTCAATGGACTTCATCATGTGCCGGACTTGGCTCGGATCACAGCAACTAATGAGCTCGTCAATAGCTTGGATCTTCTCCACGTTGGACCAATTATTGAACCTAGAAATTGAGTTATTTAAGTATAACAACGCTGTAATGAAAATATTATTACAAAACTACAGTAAGTTTAAAGATTACAACTACCTATTATAATAAAAGATTGCTGGATGCTTGATTTTCAGTATATAACAAGACGGCCTTTGTCCAGTCATGGAAGCTTTCTTACTATTGATAATGAAAATCGTTGGATGCAAATGCCAAATTGGTATTGCAGACTGCAGAATGTTCTTCTTCAGTTGTGAAAAATGTTTCACAATGTATTGAACATTTAGACTATTTACTAACCTGTTAAGCCAGGACTTGATCTCCGGTGGTCCTTGGGCGACTGTGCTGCTAGGGTTGGGCACTATGACGCTACTAGGAGTGGGAGAAGGCCATCCATCGGATGCCAAGGATGATGGTGACGGAGTCTCTCCGCAGAACTTCTTGACAGTCTGCGGTGGAGGCGGATCATGACGGCGCTTCCTCTGTAAACGTAGACATAACCTTTACATTACAAAGACATATACGTGGACTATTCAACTTGTGTTTTTTTTAACTTTGCATGTGTTAACCATATTATGTACCATACTTAATACAAAATAGCAAGACCTGGAGCGCCGTTAATTTGAACAATTAATTTTTTATTGAATTTTATATAAACAATTTACTACAAATTATTTCTTACAAATTTACACGGCCGCCATTTTAAGACTGTGTATTCTATCACGTTCCAATTTGAAAGACTCCTCACAGACTAGGACACATTACCATCAGATTATGCTGAGTTCAAATGATCGAGACTCCATTGTTTGTATACTATTTGAGGCAAAACATGAGATGTATCAATGTATGTCAGTGTGAGTGTACGCGTCGCTCAATCAATTCTGAATTACATTTGAATTGTCAATGGGATAAACTGTATATCCGTGTTCAGGATCAGAGTCGCCGACCTCACCCTGTCTACAGCTCATGTTTAAAAAAACTAAAAATTTTAGCATATAACATAGAGAACAAACAGTAGTTTGACACAATATAAAATAAAAAAAAACGCCTTTTTATGTTATTTAGATGACGTGTAGTGTAATAAATAAATAAAAAATATGACTGGCAGTTTAATTCTTAAAACGAAAGAGTGAAATTATGGAAATTCTATAATTATGTCTAAAATCAGTTATAATTTTACAATTAGTATTTACCTATTATAAGTCTGGTTCCAGAACTGTTGTAGGTTTATAAGACACGCCTGATTCGGGCAACTGTTCGTTCTCTATTCTTTATATTGTGATTTTAGTAAGGACTGGACTTTGTTAGCAGCAATTCATTAAAATACATTAGACGCCGAATCGTTTAGTAGGTATAGGATGATCATAGCATAACATATAAATAATTAAACAGTAACAAAAACCACACAAATCATAAATAAATAATAAATCTAGTAATAATCTCACACAAAATACCAGTACCTCAAGCAAAACCACTCAACTAAAATGAAATGCAAGTAAATGAAACTTAAAACTTACGTTACCTACAGTAAGGCGTATTATGTTACAAGTGGACAATTTCGCGTTTAAGTCCAAGGTAGAATACAAAAATTACATTTGATAGCAACTTGATACTTTAATACGCTAGAATCTAGAAGTACATAATGCTCACGCGATTATTATTAAATTTTTCAACGCACTTGGCAACAAAAATGCACGCTTCCCGCCAAATCGAATAGATATTTCAGACGTACTTTTTTATCTTTTTCCCCAATTTTTTTCTGACGGACACAAATATTCTACTGTTAATGATGGCCTACAGATTTTTAGAAAACAAAATATTTTAGAGATCCGTACGTCACATAGGTAATAGGGTATATAACCTAAATTGAGTTTCATAACCACGCGACGATGTTTAACGCATTTAAAATTTTTATAGAAATACTTCTTAATTTTTTTTATTTTATTTGTGTTTTTAACAGCCTTTCATGAATCCTTGCTAGCCTGAAAATTTTGATTTGATAACTAATCCGGTAAAGTATTTTATTACTTAATACTGTAAGTAATCGATTTTCATTTATTATCAAATAGATAGCTTGTCAACTGGTTTAAGTTTACGTAATATGTAGTACAGAAGAGACAACCCGCGTCCCTCCTAACGTTGATCTTTTACTAACAAGTGAAATTGAAAACACACCATGTCTCAAACCAAATTTTCAGACAAGAGAGACCAATAATATCGTGCGAAAAGTTCATTTACGAGGCCATAAAACCAAAGCACTCGTCCACACCACCTTACCAAGTCCTTACTTAATACAGAAACCTCATCCTACATTTTAGTTTATTAAATTGGAATTAAAAACAAAATAAATGTTACATTAACACCAAAAACAAAGAATAAACTTTTACCTTTGAAAACATGGATTAATTGAAACAATTGACACAAATAATGTTTGAAGAAAAAAGCCCCGTACCGAATAACACCACCACTTCAAAAAAGAGAGCGTTTGATAATGTTAGATAAAGTTACAGGAATAGTGTTGACATTATTATTTTCAAAGAAAGGTTTACCTTTCGATCCTAGAATTTTTACATTAATCCAAACTAATATTATAAATGCGAAAGTAGCTCTGTGCGTCTGTCTTTTCTTCACGTCTAAACTACTGAACCGATTTCTGTGAAATTTGGTAAAATATATTTTGGAACTCGAGAAAGGACATACAATAGTTTTTATACCAAAAATCAGCAGGAAGTCACTATTCCACGCGAAGGGAGTCGCTTGCAAAAGCTAGTCCTTTATTCGAATTGTAAAACTTTTATTTTAATTTATCATAGACAAGCAAATGGCGGATAATATTTATAATATCATGCAGCTAATTAGAGTATTATATTAAATGCGTAGCTTATAATATAACCTTTTATTATTTAATTCAAAGCTGAAGCTGTAAGCCTGTAGGTACGCAGTGATCTAAATCAGCAAAAGTCGTGTTAAATGCATTGTACACCGCCACTGTTTAAAAAAAGAACCTAGTGTTTTTGCTTTAATTTGTTCTGTACCTATCTATAGAGAAATTTCTTAGAAATTCTTTCAATAATGTCATCTTATTTTTTTTAATAAAAATGTTTATATATTATGGTATTAAATAAAGTAAAAACAATACTTTAATTTTATAAAAAAAAGACGGGAAAGATTAGGACAACACTATAGATCAATGTTTAATGTATTTATCGTCAAATGAATAATACATAAAAGAGAGCGGTTTTCTGAATACTTTAGCAGCTATTAGTTACGCCGCGCCTCGATATGTACAATAATTTATACTTTATTATGATTCATGTCCGTCTAACGCATCTTAAACATTTTATGATAGAAGCAGACAGAAGTTCTATTCAAATACAGGAACATACTCAATATATTTTTCCCTTCTAAATTTGAAAAAATTAATACTACAATTTTATTGACTTACGGTCGATTTCGCAGTCCTTGGACAAGCCCTATCCACCAAATACATTTAAAAAATGAACCTTATGTCCGCGACTTATATTTAGTAAGGGATCTATAAAATCGTCCCTTATAGTGTGTAGATGTAAACGGTTCATAGTTGAATGGCCAGTAATGCCGATTCAATCGAACAAATTGTCTCCCTGTTGACCTGGCGACCCGAAACATATTCAGAAAGGAGTGGGTGTCATTAACTCGCTCGAAGTTATAATTGACGCACTCATTACAAATTAAGACTATAATGTTACTCTCAAATCGATTAGACCACGTCTTTAACTAATCGAGATCAAGATTAACTTGAAATATATAATATACTTAATAAAGAAAAAGAATGTTTGAGAAGTATGTTCTGTAGTATTGGAATCGATCTAAAGTATTGATGTAATGAGAAAACATATTTCAATTTCTTCAACATAAACACGTTTACTCACAAAATATGATGACACGATTTTTAAAATGTTTTATTATTTACAATAAATAAGTAGTTGCTAAGCGTAAATTGATCACGTACCGCGCAAGATATTGTACCGAGTAGAAAAAAAAAATTTCCTTCAAATACAAGACTTCCGTTAGACATAATTACGTATCATAACATTCATATACTGTCTGAAGAAATTACCTACAAAACTCAATCGCTGAGTAGGTTTAAAAAGTAGTTTACAACGTATTTTATTTCAAGTAGCGTCTAGTGTAACGATATCTATAAGGTTAACATTATAAAGCTGTATAATAAACCAACCACCATATTAGTTACTCCAAGCAAATGATATGGAAATATTGCTTACATTTCTTTGATAAATTATAAAGAAATATTAAAGATTACATAGGAGAAGAATATCTAAAGTTTTGTAGTAAATACTAAATCGAAACATGAGCAATAATTCCTTTTCCTAAATCCTGTTTTTAGTCAAACTGATCTAACTAAACTACGTCGTTGAATGACCCGCAGAATGTGGTTAATATTAATACTGTGTATAAGCATTCATTCCAGTTGCAAAACCTTGGAATCGTAATATTCGAGTCGGGATCTAAACATTCTAGACGTCCGTCGGGACTAAAGGAATGTATCTGTGCTTTATACTTTCTGGCTATTTTATATTACCCAAAGTCTTTCCGGTTCTGGTTCTGGTTCATCATCCTCGTCATCATCCTGAAATACGCATTGTTTTATACACATTAAAAAAATACATACAAACTCTTCATCATTTTGGTTTAAAGTGAATATTTGCAGGCGAACGCGACGGTTACAAATTCAGCGTCCGACTTTGAAGGACACAACAGTACATAACAATTATCGATACTAAAAAGGCTAAACATCTCTACATAATATATGTAAATCAGAGATATTGTTTTTACTTTAGCCTGTTGTATTTTACGTCACGCAAGTCTTAGAGCATGACAATCAGCCCAAATTGTGAAGGTCGTACTAAAATGGAATGTCAGAGAATTAACTACGTTTTACCCAAGAAAGGTAGAGTAACTTCACTGAATTACACATGTTATTTATTACAATGACGATCTACGACCGCTATTAGAGTGCTGACGTCACGCCCGCATCATGTCTTCATGATATGTATTATGTATTCTAATGTTCAAACTTTGCTACAAAACCAATAACGCGAAAAGAAACAAATATTCACTTTACGATGGCAGTCCCCTTGAAGTTTCAAGAAATAAAATTAATGGGAAGAGAAAGATAGAAATAGCAAGAATCATTCATCTCTTTCATTCATACATAGTAATATAATTACGATTAATTACTAAACAATTACCTCATGGGACGACAGGCACGTGCACCATGACTCTTCTACGACCTCCTCCTCCGAATCTTCTTCGCCATCACAATAGTTGTAGTTCTGAAACAATCATATTCATTGTTGATCAATTGCTACATAACTGACAATACAACTCATCACTTATATTGGTACACAAGGACTAATAAAATCAATAGTGACATCAAATTGTCCCTATTTGTTGTAGCTACTGCATCTTAAAGCAAACACAGGTACAACATGTCGAGGAAATATTAGCCAACTTACCGAAGACTTAGAACTCCCCGGCTCATTCTTGCTGCTGTCGTCAAGGCCGAGCAGCTTCTCAGCATTGGAAGTGGACGGCACACTGAACCCCTTGGTGCTATCTGAACTAGAGCTTCCTATACTCGACGCGTTTGAACTGGTCCTCCCTGAAGGCCCGCTCACACCATCTATATCACAACCCTCATCATTATCGCAATCCAAATTATCTCCTTTATAAAGCTTTCCCTTAGGGAAATCTTTCTTTTCTTGTGTATTATTATTCAACAGCTTCTGCATGAAATCCTCTTTTTGTTCATGCACTACATATTTTTTTGAATGGATCATGTTCTTAATAGTAGTATTGGAATCATCCCCATCTTTGCTACAACCAGGGAGACTATAATCATGAGGTATTAAATTGGACAGATTAGATATAGTCTCCGAACTGGATGCCAGACTGGAGTTAGCACTGGAAAGATTTCCGGAATAATGGGAAGGTGCCTCTATTTGACCATCGACGATCATTCCTGAACAATGTTTCAAGATTCTATTTTCTTCATCAAAATCTTCTCTTTCAATATCGTCGATTTGCTGCCTACCATTGTTCTGCGAGGTCACTGGTTTCTCAATAGCAGGATCATTATCAGTCTTTATCTCTTGTATAATATTGAAGGGAGCGTTTGTCCCATCATAAATCTCGCACCCATTTTGTGAACATGATGGATCCATACTACTGGATGGTTCTTCCTGCAACAACAAAGTGTATTTGTGCAAGTTGGAACTGTCACAAATAACATGAACAGAAAGTTAATGAAAAATAAAAACAGATATTGTGTTTAATTTGATTTGATTATAAATAAAATGTCTATGTGCACTTACAATTGTTTGATAAACTTTTGTTATCCGGTGTGCATGAGCAGGATTCCTGCAAAACAGAAAAGTATTAGTGATTGCGATTGACTTGAATGCACTTTATATATTATGGGCTGATTTTGAAACATTTACACTTTACCTAGCATTCATATTAATTGCAAAGTGAACTTTTTTTGTGCAAATAACGTGCACGTTGTTTCGCAGCATTTGCAAAATGATCTTCGAGTTCTTCACGCAAATCACATACTAATATTACACAAACTAATATGGCACTAGAATTATGACACTATACTTGCAGAGATGATTTTCGACACACTTTTACATGAACACCAGCTACTCAGTTACGACTGTATGAAAAAAGATAATGCAAAAGCCATTCAACGCCAGAAATTGCGAACATATAGTTTAATGACAACATGTGATGGGTAATAGTTGATATAGAACACATTTAATTACATTGGGTAATGATTAAACAAATAAGTTGAAAGGGCTACACACAACACGATGCTGAAGCATGAAACAGAAAGTAGTTCTATATTTAAATGTTGGTAATCAATGAACAGGGTCTTCTATAGGGTAGTCATGAAATGGATGAAATCTGTTCACAGATAATATACTAATATAGTGAAGTGACACTACTATTCAGAAACATTTGTTGTTTTTACAGTTCATGAATTCATATACAACCACAAATGAATGTTACTACACATAAACCACCAATTAAACATTTATATTTACATAAATTGGATCATTCAAACCATTGTCTGTCTGGATACAACCCCAAATTCTGTGAACCCACATAATATCAAGAAATATTCTCATAATTTATACCAACATGTTTCCTATGTTATATATAGCAATCAATTGAAGGAAAACAGAGTAAAAACAAAGATTACAAAACAATCAATGTTCTCATAAAATAACAATGAATGGTGATGGCAACTTGCCATGAAGAGTGTCCTTAAAAACAATGACTGTCACAAAAGCACATTACAAGGAGCACATATTAACCGAGAAGAGATAAAAAATAAAATAAAGCTTTGTTTCATAGTTTTAGAATAACTCGGCAAGCGGGAATACAGGTAACAGCTTTCACTTACAGGTCCATGTCAAAAATACACACACTTTATGCACACCACAACTGTGGAGAAAAATATTATGAGGAAACCAGTATGGTGTTGTCAACAGGTCAGTATGGACATCATGGTGTCCACCAAGCCATAGTGTAACCACACCCACCCACTACAGCCTTTCCCTCATTGCCATGTCCAGACTTCCTTTAATGACAATATTGACTTGCAACACTGTTACAACAATAATTTATTAACTACAAGTGAAAAAAGATAAAATGACTTCGAATGACACCTTGACATATTAACTAAATTGTTTTTGAGAAACTAAACAATAAGAAATATAATGGAAATGGTGTTGTGGCAAAAAAATCATATTAACTACAAAAACTAATAAGAAAACACAAGATTTACAACTAAGATTTGTTATTTAAAACAACGCTAGAAAAATATTCAATAATAGTAAAACTGGTTTTATATGTACATTGCTTCTATATTATAAAAGCAATGTATAGAGTCATTGGCTCAAATATGTAATGGCAATATAGAATGGCATTTAAAGATTACCAAAACATAAAGTTGATCAAATGTCAATTGATATATTTTGCCGCTATTAATAATATACATCATGTGGGCAAAAATATGTTGATATTTATACCACCTACATTTTATTTGAATTTATTCTAGAATAAGCTATAATCTTGTTTCAGTGTACAAACTGAAACATCACTCCTTTTTTTAGTTGCAGGTACCTTGCAATAAAAAATTTAAAAAAAAGTTTCATGAATAATTTCAAGATATGAAGTCAAATCTGCAAAATCAAAAATACTGTAATGACTCTCCATTACTGAATTCCTAAACCACATCAAACTAAAAAACAATTTAAATATAAAAATTCAAAAACCACATCACTATTATCCATCTTGATTTTCAATCATATAAAAACACAAAAAGCCGCTGTCTGAATAACTGATAAAACTATAGCACAAAGACTGAATACAATCCTGAATTCAAAAACAACAATTAATTTTAATCAAGGATCACTATCAATTTACATGGAAATGAATATCTAATTAGAATAGCACTTTTGAATCCTAAATTACCAAAATGTATGGAAGAGGTGAGTGAAAATCAATCAATACCCAATGGGCAGGGCTGCACCCACATAACTCACACAAGTATATCTATACTATATACATACAAGTGCAATCATATAATTGCAGTTCTTTGTCAAGTGCTGTAAACCCCTGAATATGTCATATGGAGTGTGTTATGAGCTTATTTTAATGATAAGACAGAAGGAGTAACAAGGAACAACAAGTTCACAAGGCCATTGTGTTGGATTGTTTCTTTGGCTCTACAACTGTAGGCAATGTCATAATCAAGGCCAATACAATCATATGTTGAACAATAATGTTACTTAGTTATACACAATAAAGGACCACACCATATTAATAACGGCTATACAAAGACACGACTCCATGCACTGACGCGAAATACGATCGAAACTGCGAACGCGGGCCCCTGGGCAGAGCTAGTACTTGCATCTCTACAGGAAGTGTATCACATGCGACATTATTCCATATAAAAAAACTCCACGCGATCACGGTTACGACCGTGAGAATCTTTTTTTTAATCACCAAAACGCAGGATTCACTTGCATCCGTCCCAACAAAAAAATATATGGGTAAAATTTCTCACTATATATGGCGAAACTGACTGGCTTTGCATAATTACTAACTTCGGACTGACACGAACAGTTCAATGTTGACCTATAGTTGTAAGTTATAGAGGGATGCGCAGAAACGCATCGCGACTTGAATAATATTGCCTGGGATTTTGAAAGGCGTGAATACATAAAAAGTGGCATGGGGAACCTATTACGTGCCTCACATCTGCTGCAACAAAGTTAAAATTTCGCTGCTTACCTGTTTGGCTGCCTGCAGTTATAATTGTTTCATTACTGTTGCATTATGTTTGTTAAAGAAACATAGTTGGTAAAGTCACTGAATTAAAAATAATGTGCAATGTGCACCAATAACTTCAAACACCGTGGTCGGCCATCGACCATAGACAAACTAGAGACCACAGACCAATTTTAATGTACTGTACTGTCTACTCTATGATTGATTTAACCAAAAACTTTGTAATAAAAGTGAATTTAAAGCTTAATTTTTGTAAGGAATAAATTTTAAAATCGGTTTTAGGTTTGATCCACCAACAAAATAATTAAGTAGACTTTCATACTCCAACTTGGTAAAGAATGTAATACTTTATTTCTAAAAAACTAATAAGTTGCTACACAATATTCAATATACAAAGTTAATATAAAAAAAGATCGTATTTAAGAAAATTTTATATTGTAAATGATAAATAAATGTAATAATACGTACAATGTTTCGTCTATAAATACGGTAAAACTGAAGCATATGACCCGCCAGATGTCGCATGATCGTCTTAGCCTTATTTTTAATCTGTCGTTATAATTTTATACTCCTATCAATTCCTCTGACAGCAATAACACAAAGAGTAAAGTACATAATAAAGAAGGATCAGCAGCAGTAATAAAACAACTTAGAATTTTTGCATTATTCTTATCACCCTTACCTACCACAGTAATGCAAACAATCACCACAAATTGCTACTTATTGCCAAACGATAATACCTACACAGTTAAATGATTTAAAGTGAAGAAAATATCACAGTTTCAAAAAAAAGTACTTATGTAGAGACAACAAAACTATAATTTTCGATGTTGTCAAATTCCTATAAATAAATATTGGGCAATTTCGAAAATTTACCGTTTCGTAAATTTTGATATGTTCTCTCTGAATTTCCAATTCACCATCTTGTAGAGTCTGGCCGTCTGGCAAATGCAAATTGAACCTGGGCAAAGAGTGTGATAAGTTTATAGGTACCTACACCTAAAAGTTTTCTTTCATATGACAATTATTATTTTCTTTAAATATGAAATTAATTTTGTTTGGTTTTATCTTTAATTTTAAAAGAAGGAGAACAGAGAAAAGCTACATCGGAAAATGGCATAAGTAATTATATCATATCTTTGAAGGCAGCTTAGTAGTTTTGATACTTTAATCTTCTTTATTTCAGGCGATAATGGCCCATAGATATATACGTTAAAAACTAACACATACTTATACGTTACTACCTTCCGCCCGCGGCCTCACCCGCGTGGTTGATAAAAAGTATCTTCTTACTAATATTATAAATGAGAAAATTACGGTGTTTGGATGTTTGTTACTCAATCACGCCAAAATGGCTGGACGGATCTGGATGGAATTTGGCACAGACATAGGATACTCTCCGGAATAGGACATAGGCTACCTTTTATCAACATACCACTCGGGCGAAGCCGCCGGCGGAAGCAAGTAAAACATACGACTGATAAAATTCGACGACGAGTATCAATACTTTAGTCATCATATTTATGATGTAACAGTGATGAAATACGGAGCCGAGACGTGTAAATTTACAGTGTGACTGATCCACCAATTTAAAGTCGCGCAGCGAGCTATGGACAGGGCTACGCTTAGAGTCTCTCTGAAGGATCGTATTCGAAACGAGGTGATCCGACAGAGAACTAAAGTTATCGACATAGCCCAAAGGATTAGCAAACTGAAGTGGCAGTGGGCAGGTCCACATCTGTCGAAGAACCGATGACCGCTGGGGTAAACGTGTTCTAGAGTGGAGACCACGTCTAGGCAAATATAGTCTAGGGCGCCCTCAAGCCAGGTGGACTGACGACATCCCGCACGGTGGGTGGCAGTGGTTGGATTAGAAGAGCTGAACATCGGACAGTGGACGGCATCAGGCTGATGATGATGACGATGATAATGTAACAGAAAAAAAATTTACTGCTCTTTTTCTGGCACTATTTGAGCGCCGCTCGCGCTTTTCCCTGTTTGCCTAATTCAAAACAAGGCAAATGCAAAATTTCAATCGCTGCTCAATATATTTCTTATACGTGTTTTTATCAACACCCAGGCAAGATCTAAGCTGTATTTTCTATTCCAAGGATCTAAGCATCATTAGAGTATCACTTTCTCTTAAAATAGCAGCATGCATTTTTAGCAATGCAATCTAGAATAAAAGTCGACTCTACAAAATCACAAAACTGTTGAACGACACTTAATTTATTACACATTATTAACAACATTCGTTTACGTTTACAGTACTTTTACATTTTTCTAAATATTTTTTTCACCATTGTGACAATAAATCAAAGTCTGTGAGCCTCTGCAAACCAAAGCTTCGCTTCTTTGGCTTCGTTATTCGATCCTTCTCTTTGTCTTCTTTTAACTCTGTTGCTTTAGTTTTCTTACTAGGTTTAGTCTTTTGCTTTTCAGCATGGGACATTTTCTGGACTTCGCCCTCCATATCAAATACACATTGGTCACTTGGATAAATTGGCATTACAACTACTGGCACATATTGGGTTTGCATTTTTGGCAACTGGAATCAGAAGAAAATGAATGAATAAAATATGTTATTAAGAAGCGCAAACGGGGCATCTGAATCTATTATATAAAATTAAGCCGGGTTTTCCTTCCGAACCGATTTCCACGGTTTTGCATTCGTTGAAAAAGACTCCGGCTCCATGGGGTTTATAGCAAAGAAATTCAAGAAAACTTTCAACAAGGAAGCGGGTAAACCTTTTTCACATACAGTGCCAACTTTTTGAATCATATCTTTTAAGTTTCCATGTCTCTAGTCTTGCATTACCTACCCAAAAATTATGGTAAAATAATAATATGTATATACCCAAACAAAAACACTGAAGTTGTTTTACCTTATTTTCAGCAGCACACTGACAGCAGTAACTCTGTGCCGCACCTATTGCCTTGGAATTAACCAAGTGTTGAACAATAGCCTTAAGTCGTTCTTCGTCCAAATTGTCGGGTTTTTTATTTTCCCATTTTCCCTCATTATTCATCTGGACGATGAAAGGGGCTGACATATTAAAAGCGTCGAAGCCTGGTTGTGCCAATGGTCTAAAAATTAAAGAGATCTCTCAATGGTTGTCTATATAATGTACTAATTTACTTACTCAATTGGGCTGTTAATTATATTTGGTAAGTAACAAATTTGTGTAGAAAAGAATCCACTTAAGATGCAGGAGGACACAATTTAGTCCCATCAAGTACCCCTGTCAACCTGTTCTCCAGAGTTAGCACGATTCGCCTCGTGCGAAGACTCCATTAGTTTCAGCCGTTGAACCTCCTAGGATCCTAGGGGATATGGCACCATAGGCCGAATGCAAAATATGAGATGCAGATTGATCAGCAAACTGAGGAGTATAATCTGCCCTTATACCTGGCATTTGTGGAGTAAACTTTTGATCGGATTCCTGATGTGTTTTGGAGTCCTTGCAACGATGCCATGAATGATTGTCTATTAGTGGAATGCCAAAGTGTTGAGATATTTGAATTATTGAACAAAGGTTCGTTCAGAATCAGCGGTCTCATCCTATTCAGCTTCATCCGAGGAATTAGACAAGGAGAGGTTTTTAACCAAATTGTTTACTTATGATTTGAGGATATGTTCAAGCCTAGGATATGTTCTAGCCAAGGAAAGGGCGGGGCAGAAAATTAAATATAGGCAAGTATTTCTCTTATTTGAGGTGAAACGTGGGCTTACAATATATGCCGATCGCATCGGACTCCGGATAGAAAAAATTAAGTTACAATGAACATGTTCTCCTGCCGCCGATCACTCTATAAGTACTCCTGAACAACCGGTTGTTCAGGAGTATGTCTACATTAAGGCAAAGCGCCCCTAAGACGATCCACTGACCCATAGTTTGCAAGAAATAAAACCTTGGCTGGGCGGCAGATAGGAAACTTGATCAGGTCTTCACGTCAAAGAAATCGCAAACGTCGCAGTTGGAAAAGAGAAGCTAAACATAGAGCGCAATAGGGTGCAATGAGAGAGCCTATGTTTAGAAGTGGACGGAACCGGGGTATTGATGATGATAATGAATATGATGATAAATGATAATGACTTAGGTAAAATAAAACCATGACGAAACTCACATATCTGCTAGTTTAGATAATAATTGTTCATCAGCCATCGTAATTGTTTTCGTAAGTTTTAGTATAAAATAAATTTGAAAAAATTTGATTATTTTAGATTTAATACCAAAAAAATTAATTTTTTACAGTATGTTTTTAGAAGTGTAATAATTTTTATTTATCGTATTTCAAATTTGTGGCATATTTTGTCATTTTTTTTTAAATATTCGACAGGTTTATTTCAATATCACTTATCAAATTAATCCTTCTTTCACAAAAAAAGTATTTCATCAATCATCGTCAATTTTTTCGCAAATTTTACCGTGGGTCCAGGACTGTCGGGCGTTGATTCCGCAAGGGTAATCCAGGGAACGGCCACAGGCAAAGAAAGAGTAACTTTAGCCAACCCATGAACCTTACCCATCCCCCTACTCCCCAAAGTCCAGAACAGTAACAACTGAACAGCTTTTTAGATGGATTTTAGAATGTAGACATTACTGCATAGAAAAATCTTATAAAATTATAATATGAACCATCGCGTATTATTTCTTTCTATTGACAGAATAGAAAGAAATTAAAGAGCCATCGACTCCTAAAAGGGTGACTCTGCAGCAGAGCATGCCAATATCTTACTGGACACAAAGTGATTGGTATCATCTACTATTTCTTACACTCTTTTCACTTGAGAAAAACATGGAATGATTTCTCAGAGGGAGTGTCACTCTTACTGACTAAAAACACCCCTTTCTCTTGCCTGGGTCGGGTCGGAGCCATGGTACCTACATTATTGCGCTAACACTATAGCTAGCGCCCTCAACTCCAGCTAGACATTGACCCGATGTACTAGATATCTCACTTACCTATGCTTAGATTCTTCTAGCAGTCATGCATCAATTATACTATATATATTTATATTAATATTATAAAGTTGGAGAGTTTGTTTGATTGAACGCGCTAATCTCACGAACTACTGGTTCGAATTGGACAATTCTTTTTGGTTTGTTAGTCCATTTATCGAGGAAGGCTATAAAACATGACGCTACTTTATGTAGGAGCCGAGCAGAGGGTGAAACCACGGGACAGTTATTTTTATCAATATTCCATTGTTATGCGCGTAGATACAACGTCGCTGCGAACTGTCTTAATTTTCATAATTTTTGGTCCTGTCCTTCATAAAATAATAGTTTTTCAAATAAGACTACTCGTAGGTAGGTACTTACAAACTTTTTTTTTTGTTTTTTTTTAGGCCTGGCAACAATTTACCGCTGCAACACGCGACGTTAAACTAATGCGCGACATCTCAGGCGCGTGGTCTACAGTTCTACATAAACTGCATTTCATGAACACGCTTTCGTATTCACTTGTAATGAGCTTTTATCGCTTTTTTTCTCTTTTCTTTCTTTCTCGTAGACCTACTACGTCAAAGAGAAAGCAAGGATTTGTAAAGTGTCGATACTCCAAGCATTATCGATTGGTGATCCCTTGTTTTTCGCAGTCTTTCATTTCTATTTATGTATTCGATTATTCACCTACAATGTAAATCTATATGGATTCCGCGATTTTGGAATGCATCAACATGTCATGTCATGTCATGCAACGCTATATTGTCGCGCGCCTAATCTCGTATAGCGTTTCTACATAAGTAATCTTATTTTATTTTCTGTGTAAGTGGTCTTACACTTAATATGTGGCTACTACAAGCTATAATACCTATACTTAATATAATGTATACATTCGTGCATGTACATACGTATTTTAGAAGAAAAGTTAAGAAGGGTCTTTAAAAAAGGCAGTTTGTTTGAAGTGACATATTTATTTCACAAGTATTCATAAGTTAAGGCTGGGAAGCATAGGCTCCATAATAATCAGCTTCCATTTAAGAAAGTTACCATTGCGACAATAAGTCGAAATCTGTAATTCTACTTAGTAGCCAAGGTTTTGGTTTGTTCAACGGGCCGCCACCGCGTGCTCGTTCCTTTGATTGTTTTGCCTTCTGTTTCTTGCAGGAGTGCCAAATAAACCTGTGAAATACATATAAAAAACATTAAGTAGGTACTTTCATTAATTTTCTAGAAACATTGCTTAACTCTTTTATTAGTTTCATTATGATCCAAAAGATTCGGTCACACGATAAAAAATACATTAGTTGTGTTGATAGTTTCAAATTTTAAAACGAGATGGCGCTTTAACCTTTTTTGTAAAGTTGCACTTATTGGGCAACTTTTGTCAACCATCCATGGTCGTTCAGAACATAGGTACTTTATGACCAATCTTTCCATACCAAGTTAACCAAATTATGTACATAAAGACAAAAGGAGGAGGTTCTCAATGCAATTCGTTGGTTGTTTGTTATTTCTATGTGTAGGCAAATAACGTTCCTGTGATTTAGCTTTATAAAGAAAAAAAAATTGACGGAAATAAGAATGGCTGTTTTTTGGGTATGCCGTCATGACCACAGAACAGAAAATTGTGTGTGTGAAAATGTGTAAGTGTTACGAAATGATAATTAAAGTATGTTTCGCTTACCTGGGAGTTTTCACTGTTTCGTTATGTACTGGACATTTATATTCGAAGTCTGGAAGCTGCAGAATATAAATGATTTCTTCATCTTCATCATCCGCTTTTGCTTTTTCAGATTTGTGATCTGGGGCATGTGGCTGTAGAAGAAGAAAAGACATCACAATCAATCAAACAAAGTTCATTTTGCATACCATCTTTATTGACGTGCGCGTGCCTCTTATAACTCGATGTTGCATGCACGAAAAAGTTGACGTCATTGTCCCGTTACGGACGAAAGAGAGAGAGAGGCATGATCGGTTCAGCGATTGGTGCGTTGATCGGTTTCGTCACAACACAAGTGTTGTAACAATCATTAACAATGTTCTTCGTATGCCGTTCGAAATAATAACAAGATAAATGTACAATTACCGACTTAACAAAATGTTATAATAAGTTAATTATAAAATACATGAAATTATATTAGATGGCTAGGTACTCACGAAGACACTTGGTGCAGAAATGGCTTCACTGGGATCCAAATAACCGTCCAGAATTTGTTGGTTGATTTTATACTTGCGCGCCAAATTAAAGTTCTTAGAATCCTCTTGAGTCATAGGAAATGTGATTAGTGGCCGCCTGTAAATATTCAAGAATATAATAATATAAGAATAAAAGGAATAATAATTATGATGTAATAATACTATTTAAAAAAAAAATATTTTAAGAATAATAGGAAGGGCGCTAGTTTTGAGAACAGTACCATCTATGAAAATTTACAAGAAACTATCTCCGAACGCGACACAGCTACCCTTGTTACGCTTGTTGCGTCCTCTATGTTCCGTTCAATAAATTTTTATTACGGTTTGCGTCTAATAGATGGAGTTAGTCGCTTTCTGGTGGATTTTATTTCATGCTTCATAGGTGCGTGTAAGCGTATTAATCAAAACTGTTTAATAACGTCATGATATTTTTAGGGACTTTTTTGTTTTTCGACCTTATCCGTAGCTTTTATGTATTTAGTAGACGAAAACCAGAGACATATTTTTCATCAGCTTACGTTTTTGTGAGAGTGCAGACAGACATTCAAGTTGCACGTAAGTACATAGGTAGGTAGATATTATAATGAGCCCACCGAATGAAGTTTTGAAAGTTTTTGTAAAGTAAAAAATTGAAATACCTGAACGGGTCAAGATACAGGGCTCTTGGAGGTAGCTTGAAATGTTTCTTAATATAATTTTCATCAAGGAGTTGGAAGTCGTTTTGTGCTGTTGCACCAGTCTGGGCTGGACCACGCGGGGGATTACGTGCGGAGGTCCCAGTGGGTTTGTCCGTGTGTGGCACCAGGCAGATGAGAGGTAAGTTGGTCCTGCCCACGTGACCTGAGGCGGCGCTACCCCTGACGGCATCGTTACATGCGCAACACCTGCAAGCAAAGTACAACACTAATGTGAACATGTTGTCAGGGAAATACATCAAATGACTTCTCCCGTCCAGGGTAAGGCGAGAGAGAGTGTCAGATTCTTATTGAATAAAAACGCCTCCGATCCTTCTCTTGCTCAGGGCCGAGCCGTGGCGTGGCGTGGCTCATTGCGTTTGCCCCGCGACCCCAGCTGAGCATCAGACCCATAGGGCCTCGTCTAAATGTGAACATGTTTAAGTATGGATTTGGATGTCCTTCAAATGCGGCGATTTGTGTCTAGTAATTAAAAACAGATGAAACTTATAGACTACCACCCGGTTTCTGAAAGGCTCGTCAACGCTAAAATTAACTAATCTCCTGTTAAATCTCTTGTCAAGTCATCTGATTGGATGTTGATAATTCAGTCAACCAATGAGATGACTTGACAAGAGATTAAATTGATTTTAACATTGATCGGCCTTTCGGAAACCGGGTGTAAGTATACTATAATGGATTTTAAATAAATTTCCTTCTTTCTTTCATGATGTAGCTGCTCATTGTATGTTTACAATGAAAGAAGGAAAGAAAAAGTTTATTGACACAAACCATGTGCACACAGATATAGTAAAAAAAAGGTTATTTAATATAAAAGAAAAAATAAAGAAAACTACATAACTGTGTGCCTAATGGACGGTGATTTCTTCCAGTACCACCTTTCAGTAAGTATTTTCAGTTACAAGTAAAGGACGATTTTGAACCATATTTCAGTTCTTCAAAAAGTATAGAAATATTATGGTATACAGGTGATCATAAAATTACGTAAATTGAAAGTGGCACAATAAAAAATCTCATGTTCTTCAATGTTAACTGAAAATAGCTAGAGGTACCTAAAATGCTATTCTTAATTTATGTTTTTTACTACTTAGTTTCTGTGACTGTTTTCAAGTCCATCCACAGAGCCAGGGCACCAATGAAACAAAAAAAAAACGATTCGTCAAAATTGTACAACACGTAAAACAACATTTAATAAAGCAATGCATAGCTTTTGAATCGTTAAATGCAGTAAATAAATATGTATTTTCAACGAGTGTTAAAATATATTATTTCAATAAACGCTTCACGGGACGTCAAAGAGTGGATTGTGGATTTCATAAACACGTTTACACGTACCAATTGAACCCGGTGTCCGAACGGCGGGAATTTATTTTCCAGCCACCCAACCGAAAACATTACACTTTTTATTTAGTTTTTCAACTGGTTGTTTGTTCAAATCCTTCGCCTGTGCCGTGTTATAAGTACTGCTATTATCTACGAGCAGGAAGGTGGTGGGGCTACGTAGCTTATGTTTTAAAATTTTTAAATTCGATTTATGAACCCGTATAAGTTGGCAAACGAGGAAACGGATAACCTGATGGTAAGCAATCGGCGCCGCTAGCAATGGACACCCGCAATATCAAAGAAGTTACGAGTGCGATGCCGGAATTATGAGGATAGGGGTTGCGGCAAGGATCGGGAAGGGATAGGGCAGAGGGAGGGATTAGGTCTCTGGTAACCTCACACACACGGCAAAACACAACGCTGTGGTGGTTTCTCGCCGGCATTCTGTGAGGCTGTGGTATCACCCCAGTCGAGCCAACCCATTCGTGCCGAAGCTTGGCTCACCCACACTAAACTAACTAATTTAACTCTGATTGAACATTTTTGATATTTTTTTGTTTCCCTGTCTATTAAAAAAAAGTCACCAACATAGATAACATATGTATAATTTTACAGCGCCTACTTCGATACAAAAATAAAATAAAAAGAACTACAGATTCGAAAGTCAAATTAAGAACCAAAATTACTTTTAAAAATCGAATCTACCTATTTAACTACCGAACATTTCGCCTAAAGCGTAATTATTTGTGACTTGTTTCCAGCCTGTCCACATTGTCTATGCCCCGATTCCCGAGGGACAATGGGCTAACAGTTTTTCCGACATCACACGTAGCTGGGACACTGATTGAAAAAACGTTCAGCAAACTGCGTCATTTGTCGCTAGTAATTGTTTAAATTGTCACTGCCCACGGCTGAATACATTACCATGTGTTTTGTTTGACAGGGGTGCGATGGGAAATAGTTTCGCACTCGTAGGTGATATTATAAGTAAAAAGGTGTAGATAGGTCATAAGCGATCAGCAAGTGATGTGAAAATGTGGCTAATTAGTCACACTTTTTCATGTATGTAGCGTAAACGGCTACATTCAGTCCAATATTTCTTCAAAATATAGATTAAAGAGAATAACGATAAATATCCGAATTCAAAACTAGTGGCATGCGCACAGGTCTGACGTTGAATAGGTTTTCGGCGACGTCCTTTTCTCTCCCCCTCTCCCCCTCTCCTCGTCCCCTCTCTCTCTCTCCCACTCCCCCACTTCCCCCTCTATCTTTCACTTTCTCTCTCGCGTTATCTATATATCTATATCTCCTCCTCCTTCTCTCTAGCTTTCTCTAGCTATCCCTATCTCCCCCTCCTCTCTCTCTCTAACTCTCTCTGCCACTCCCCCCTCTCCCCTCTATCTTCACCATTCTCGCTCGCGCTCTCTATCTTTGTCTCTCAGGCCCCCAATCCTACCCTCTATCTTCCCTTTCTCTCTCACGCTCCCCCCCCCCCCCCTCTCTCTCTCTATCTATCTCTCTACTCCTCCATCTCTCTCTCGCTCTCCCCTCTTTTCTCTCTCTTCCTATTTTTCTCTCGCGCTCTCTATCTATCTCTCTCCTCCTCCTTCTCTATCTTTCTCATTGAAGTTATTTCTGTTTCTCTCTTACACTACACTCAATGAAAAACACACAAAGGCGATAGTTACTTAGGTATGTATTTCAAACGACCTGTGAATTATTTCGCTGACAGGTGCAACATTGAAAATGGTTTACAATTATTTACTTTAAGTAGGTATTACTTTTTATGACTCGGCACTGGCGACTCGCAGATTGAGACTGGAAAACACCCTAAATGTACATATTATTACCTAAGTGTGATCAATCCAGATACCATGTGTAGTTAACTTTTCTAAAAGCTCGGGTTACTGGCCAGAAGCGTATATTCATAATTGGGTGCAGTATGTTTATATCGTGTTCATACAAACAATCAGGGGCAAAGTAAGACTATTCTATATAGGTATAAAGGTAACTTACACGGAAGCCATTTTTCTGCAGCAAATTAAGTGTCTTCTTTAACAGGTGTAAAAAATATGCTTTATTTGGTTATTATCATCTTATTGTTGATATTTACCTATATTTTTTTTTATAATAGCATTTTACTGAAAATTATCATACAAAAAATCTAATACGTTATGTCACCGGTTTGACATTTTTAAATTTATTAATTGTGCGATTTTTTTTTTTGGTGACTCTATTGTTTTCTTTCTTTCTATGTGGCCTCGCGTACTTTTAATTGGCTTTTAAAGAAGGTTAAACTTTTAATAAAACCTTCCTTCTTACTTAATATTATAAATGCTGGGCGACTTGTATGCCTTGTTGCCTAGCTTACACTGAGTGGGTAACCCATTTAGCATGGGCATGTTGTAGCGTCTATTTTCTGTTTCATCTGTTTTAATCTTTGACACATGTTTGTCTTACTTCTACTGTCACACTTTTATTGTCTTTTTATATGCTGCATCGGGCCTGGTGCTGAATAAATGTCTTTTTAATAATTTTTAATTCTTTTATGTAGTACGTAAATGACAAAACGGCTTCACATCGGCGACGTAGCTTTAAAATTATATTTTGTAAAAATGTGAGAGGAAAGGTGTTGCTTTGACATGACTGAGCACATAATTGGTTTTCTATAGCAGGGAAACTTTGCTTATCTAGATACAGTTTAAAATAAAAAGGGAATGATCACGGCATTTTTTTCTTCTAATTATGATAAGGTATGCTAACAATGTAACGGAATAGCTGTATGTATGTATTGTAAATATAATAATTGTTTGTTATTCTTCTTATGACACAGAAGATCTTTCTCGTTTTATTGGGATATACAATCAGATGACTACTGCCGCGCTGGATGTAGTGAGAAGGTATGTCAGACTCTTAGGGTAGACTGGGTACGATTGAAACAAAGGACGGTTGAAACAGAGTAAATATCTCGTAAATGGTTACGCGGGGAATATGGGGTGTAAGGGGAAGAATAAGCGGACGACAGGTCCGAACCCGAATACAGTGCCGCTCCACATCCCGCGCGTTGAGGTTGTGTGCAGGACGCCATATTGATTTTTATTACACAAAAGTAAGTATTTTTCTTCTGACATTAACGCTTTTATTATCTGTTATTTTTAAGTGAATGTATTATGGTGTGTGTTTGCGATTATTACGATGCTTGTAGTATAAGGAATAGTGACTATTTTTAATATATTATGATTACTGTCGTAAATATAGAGTATATTATACGTAAAGTGGGGTTGGGGACGGTTGAAACATTTTTTGTGGGTACGGTTGAAACAGAATTTATTTTTGTAGATGCCGAGTGTTCGGATGAGGAAGACTTCTAGAGGGAACATTGACTTATCGAGTTATAGTAATGCATATGAGGAGGTAAAAGCTGGAGAAAACTTTCGGAAAGCGGCGGAAAAGCATGGTATACACCAATGTTCCCTGATACATTCGAAAGCGAGATGCGACCGGTGGTGACGATTTGGGCTTTAAATGAGAAGTGGATTCCATGTACTTTGTGTAAACAGTGGGCACATGAAGAATGCACAGAAGGTGGTCTTAGCTACGTTTGTTATAATTCCGACTCTGAATACTCCGATTAATGCCTAAGCTAAATGTTTTCTCTAAGTTAATTCTCCATGTCTATTTGATCTAAACAGGGGTTTCTTTATTAGTTTATTTGATTTAAAAATATTTTCGTTTAGTTTATTCACAATGGTTATTTTATTAATTTTAGAAATGTAGTTTTTTTACAAAGTGTATTTGTTTTTAAAGTTTATTCTGATGCAACCGTTTTTGTAATTTCTCTAAATCTTTACTAGGTATTAGTCAAAGGCTGATAAACGTTTGAGAAGTATTAAAATCTTGAATACTGATTAATGTTGTGATATCTATAATATAAAAATGAATCGCAAAATGTGTTGGTAAGCGCATAACTCAATAACGCCTGGACCAATTTTGCTAATTCTTTTTTTGTTATTATTGTTATTATACGGAGAAGGTTCTTACGGGAGAAAATATTAGAAAAGTGAAGGGGAATAGCGGTAATCAACAAACCTTTCAAAGCCGTGGCCGTTCGCTTGGAAAACAAATGAATGATACCAGGGTAGTCGGTGCTAGTTATTCATATAATTAGTATCAATTATAAATAAAATATATTTCATTAGTATTTATTGTTTTATTTTTATGTGTTTCAATTGACCCCAATCGCTGTTTCAACCGCCCTTGGCACGGGGACGGTTGAAACAAATTATAAATATTTCTTAATTTCACATATTTCCAAAAATAGTAATTTGAGAACCACAATGACACTGCCATATCGTAGCTAAAACTTCATATTTGAATTTCATGTATCATAATGAGCATTTGGTTAATAAATGACAAAATTATAAACCACCAAATATGCCAAATTGTTTCAACCGTACCTAGTCTACCCTACTGACTAAAACCAGCCGTTTTTCTTCTGCTCCGACCGAAATGCCTTCTGCAAGAGTAGGTACACCTTAAACTTGCAAATTCTTTTATTAGGGCTTGGAGACAGATCCAAAGACTTAGATATAAAGTCTTCGAAAATGCTGTATTAGTTCAGATTAAATAAATATTCTGGCCTTGAAACTATACAAAAATGTTTATATTACTTTGTTGTCGACCGTAAAAATATCACAAACGAATCTAAACATTTAACCAGCACATAAGAGCTGGTATGTAAGGAACACCTTATATAAAGCGGCTTATTGACTTGCCGGGCCAACTTAAACACTGTCCTAATCCTTGGTATAAAAAATAGAGATGAAATATTCAGCGTTGGGGCAGCGCTTCGACGACGTATGGCGTGTGGGAGACACGTGGCCACACTTTCCCGATGAAAGATTTACAGTGGGGCCCCGCGCACGTTATACTGTTTGCAAATGATGCGATATTTATCCATCGCCCCAGGGCCCCAGGGCCCCAAGCAACGACTTTATTGCCTTACAAGCGCCCGACGACTTTCGGTCTTTCGATGTTTTAAAGGATACGGGTAGCTATTTGATTTGGGAGTCGCGATTATTTTCATTAAACCGATGTAGCTACAGTTCGAGGGCGATGAAAATATTTGAATGTCTTATTGATTTGTGTGGTATGTGATTTAAAGATATCTATATCTCAAGAAGTTCACAGTACCTATCACACTAAAGATTAAAAACACATCACTTAGCTTAGGACCTCCTTGTACAAGCACATTGTATGGCAGATAATTTCCTAGTGCTCTATTATATATTCAAACTTATCTAATACAAACGGCCATCCAGACGTCAGCCTATAAACTACTACAGATGGGGGTCAACAGGGCAGTTCAGCTGGGATTTCGGGGCAACTGCAATAAGGAGCCGCCTAAGGAGAATGGACGGTGTGGTTTTTAGCCAGTAAGCGTCTGACACTCCCTCAACCTGGGCGAAAGAAGTACCTGATTATTTTCCAGCCTCTAAAACAGGACATTATGATCCAGGCCGTTTGAGCACTTACTAACAAGTCACCCCTTTTTGACTGTCAATCAAATGATAAATTACGATGAACTAATTAGATAGCGATCAAATAGTAGACATTAAAAATAAACACTTTCGTCCTCGATTTACCCTATTGGCGGGGCATTTTGTTAGTTCAACCCTCCCTGAGGGCGAGTTGCGAACGTGCGACTATTTGTCTTGCGACCTGACGACAAATTGAGCGGCAGTCGCGTCGCTTTATTGCCTGCCAGTGTACCGTGACGTCACTGCCAAATGAGTACAATGTGGAATGGAGATAGTAGCTTTGTATTTTTAGTTGATACAGATTTTAAGGGCAGTAATATTGTAAACTAGCTCTTACCCGCGGCGTCGCTCCCGTCATTTGACTACCTACCCTACCTACCCTACTTTACCTACCTTACAATACTTACACTACTCTACCTACCCTACTCTTCCTACCCTACTCTACCTACCCTGCTCTAGCTACCCTAGTCTACATACCCTACTCTACCTACCCTACTCTACCTGACCTACTCTACCTACTCTATCCTATCCTATGTCCTTCTCCTGGCTCTAAACTACCTCCCTGCCAATTTTCAGCTAAATCGGTTCAGCCGTTCTTGAGTTATAAGTGGAGTAACTAACACGACTTTCTTTTATATACTATATATAGATAACTTATTGTATTTTTTATGGAATAAGTCGGTAAACAGGCTAACGGATTACCTGATGATAAGCAATCGGCGCTGCCCATGGACGCCCGCAATACCCAAGGAGTGACGAGCGCGTTACCGGCCTTTTGGGTATAAGTGTTTTGGATATTTAAGGATTGAAAAGGTATGGGGAGAGGGGGAGTGATTAAGGCTCCGGTAACCTCACTCACACGGCGAAACACAACGCTGTGGTTGTTTCACTCCGGTTTTCTGTGAGGCCTATCGGAGTATCGGGTTATCACTAGGTTTGAAGCTTGGCTTTCCCAAATTATTATAACTTATACAATTTTAAGAAGATGGCAGTGATTTGCTTAATCTACCACCTCATCATCAGTATCGGCCACGACACATCAAGCCTTACAGCTTAGCGTAGTCCTCCTTCAAGGATAATAGACAATCTGGACTTTTCTGGTTGCAACAGACCAGCACCCACCAGCTCGCTGTGACATTCAGTCAGTTACTTGTATTCAAAGTCGGTTAAGGCAGCCAATAACCGGGTAAGAACATTTCGTGGGACACATTATTTAATTATTATGTTTAACGACTTACGTAAGTGTTTGACAAGGTAGTTGAATAGTTTTCAGTTACGGCGGGGGCTCATATTCATGAGCGCGACGCTCTACGCGGCGAATGTCGCTCAGCTGACTCAGTTCGTCATAAAAGACAATAATTATTTTCATATTTATGAGGACAATTGTGAATTTTGTTATTCATTTTGTTTAGCGCGTGAATTAAGCCCATAATTATTTGTTTGCCAGAAGGGGGGTGGTCCTCTGGGTGGTCCTCGCAATGACGACACTCGGGAGTTTCCTCCCGCCGGATCATGACTTCATAATCACGTCACATGGTATTGATGGGTGACTCCTAATGGAATGAGTCTTTGAAGTTCGGATGGATTTTTTTTACTCTGTTACGATTAACTAACGAACGGATTTAGATAATATTGTCTACCCAGATAGGTCGTAGTCTTGAATAAATCTTGTGATATTTGTAACCCAAGGACGTGGGCGAAGATGCTGGCAGAAGCTATACTTAATATTATAAAGCTGGAGAGTTTGTTTGCTTGAATGCGCCAATGTCCAGAATTACTGGTTCGAATAGAATTATTCTTTTTGTGTTCGCAGTACGCGGCGAGGAAGGCTTTAGGCTATTAAACATCACGCTACGATTTGTAGGAGCTGAGCAGCGATTGACACCGCTTGACAGAAGCTAGTAGTCAATAAAACAATGGTTCAAAATGGAAGGTTAAAAAGTTAATTCTTGAATTCAATTTGTAAGTTAAATTTCATTGGCCATTCAGTAAAGTTTTAGAGTGATTGGAAGTTAAGAGTAGCGTGCCCGTTCCGTATGTTTGCCTCAGTTTTAAACTTTGTTTCAAACGAGATAAGCACACAGAAGTTTCTCAACAAGTTCAACAGACTCGTGAACGTGATAGATGTGTCAAACCTAGCTATATATATAATGTACGAGCTAAACAAAGGAAATTAAAAAAATGCCAAAGCCCTCTTTTAAAGAGAACGTGCCGCCGCCGCCGCTGTGCGCGACGCGTCGTACGGTTCATTATACATTGCTCATAATGTTCAAAAGTTTGTTTTTGTGCGGGCAATGATGCGGTCTGCTGCCGTAATGTACGAAAAACCCTCATCGCATTGCACGTTTCTTCGCCTGTGCGTAAACGCGGCTTAAGGGTCACTTCACATCGAGAAAGCTATGTGACACTATAATACTGGAATAGGTGATTCGCGCAGCACTACGCGCCGCTCGCCTTCAGACATGTATTATTCTGTGTAGGTATAAGAGAGCGCAGCATTGCATCGCGTCGCGTCTCGATGTAAGCTAACCCTTACCCATTAATCTGGCATATGATTTGTATGTCACAGTGAAATAAATATATCAAACATTTATTTTACTGCGACAGACGGCCTACCCATAACTAACTCGGGACTTAAAGACCCTCAGATGACTTCTTACCTCCGGGAAGACAGACTCCTCCGTAGGATTTCACCTTGTGGTTCTGATACTTGTAATAAAACTGAAAGCGAACCGCTTCAACGTGTTCTGATAAAAGTGTTTCAACATGTCACTAATAAATAACCTTCACGTTAGCAGACGGTTTAGTGATAGTTTATTAATAATAGGTAACATAAGGTCCCACAAGAATGTTTACAAAATTATTACCAACCACATTCTGCCACCCAGTTAGTTACCCAGATTAAAAGTAGGTAGCCTATAAGTTATTTCAGACTATAATCTATCTCTGTTCCAATTTACATCATAATCTATTCAGTCGTTTTTACGCAAAAGAGGCGCATACCTATAATCTATCTTGCTTAAGTATTTATATTATAACTAGAAATTCTCACGCGATTTCATCCGCTGCCTGCTCCAACAGATCTTTTCTTTGTAGG